ATTTTATAACTATTTTAATAGATTTTATATAAAGGTTTTTAATTTGTTAAGGTTTTCTTAGTAAATACTAGTAATTTCTTAACATTCTAAGCTCTATATATTAAAATAGCTATAATTCCCTATATAAACTTAGTATAATTATATAGTATTTTTTTTAATATATAAGCTATCTAACTATAAATATAAAATTAAAAAAAAATTAAATTAGTAATCTATAATATTTTATTAATATTTTAAAATATTATATTTTCTTAGCTTACAGTAGAGGAAAGTGGCCGGTTTCTGGGGGTGGCCGGTTTCCCCGTATCCGACGTTAAGCTACAGAGACTAAACACCATTTACATACAAGTAAACCGACCGTGTAAGTTTATCTGGAGATGAAGCGGGGACTCGGCTAGCTCTTGATAACAGATTAAATTTCTCTACAGTGCAATCTTAGCAATTATTAACCCGAGTTGCAAGCATCATCATTGAACAATAATCAGAAAACTTCAATACGTTATCACCATGTCTTCGCCAGCTCGCTATCAGTTCCTCCCCGGCCCAGTAGGAGAAATGCTCCGCTCCGCATCACTCGCAACAACCGCTACGATCCCACTATCAGGCTCTCTCGTGATAACGACGGGCCATGTCGGAGTAGACATCAAAACGGGTCAACTCGTCACTAGTTCTATAGACGCCGAGTTCAACGCAGTGTTTGACTGCCTTGACGCAGCACTCAAGAATGCGGGTGTTACCAAAGGCCTCGCTTCAGCTCATAAGCTGGTGGCTTACTTTACCCGAGCTGAGGATGAGGCTACGCTGCTTAGTATCTTTCACGAACGGTACCCGGGACATAGCCCGACTTTGACCTCGGTTGTGGTGGCTGGGCTCGTTAACCCGGGGATGCATGTTGAAGTACAAGCGGAGGCGATCGCTTTCTAGAGGGCCCATGGGATGTTATGGTGGATCAACGTACAGAGAGAGATCAGCGATAGATAAACTAGCTACAACGAGTATACACTCATGTTAACAGATGCCCAAGTCGACAATTACATGATCCACGCAGTCAACATTTCTATTTTCGGTACTACACAAAATGCTAAGCAACCATCTATTCTCGATCGGGCATGTTTCGGTAAGGGTTCTTGGGGTCCGCCAACTCCTCTTCCACACTCTGTATCGTCTTGACAACCTTTGCAGGGGCGCCCAGGGCGATCGAGTAAGGGGGCAGACTCTTGGTAACCACCGCCCCAGCGCCAACAGTGCAGCCTCGGCCAATGGTAACGCCAGGGAGGATAACTACGTTGCCACCGATCCAGCAATCGTCTTCAATGCGGATGGGATGTCCGAACTCGACGAACTTGATCCTGGACAGCACGCTCGTCTCGTGGCCTGCGGTGTAGATGTGTACGTTGGGACCCATCTGGACGCGGTCACCGATGATGACGAGGCTAGTATCTAGAATGGTCAAGCTGGGAATGATTTAGTCATTGTTCCACTTACTCATAGTTTTAGACTTACCCAAAGTTCATGAAGCAGTTCTCGCCGATCGAGACATTGCTGCCGTAATCAGGCATAAAGGGCGTCTCAATGTACGTCCCCTTGCCGACCTTTCCGAGCATCTCCGAAAGCATCTGAGCGCGCTTGTCGTCGATCTCCTCGCGAGTGCCAGCGCTAGGATCAATGTTGTTGTACTTGTACGCCAGACCGCGCGCTCTGTGGCGGCCTTCCAACAGCTCGGGGTGCAGGGGGTTGTAGCTAACCTCGGGTTAAAGATTTATGCACTGACGTAGTATCAAGGTGTAAGAGTACTTACAGCATACCAGAGATCATCTTCTCATACTCATCGCACCAGGGGGTTCCCTTGAGGCCCTTGGCGAACTCGATGATCTCATTATCTTTCTGTTGCTTGGCCATGATGAAGTAACGTGGCGTTTGAGCAGTTTGTAAAACAGGGCTATTAGATAGCAAGTGATAAGGATGTGAATATCAAGACAAAAGTTATACTGTCTGATTGTCGAGTTAGATACGGAGCTGGTACTTGTTCAAGTTGGAGAAACACGTCTCATCTTTTAAACGTGGAGAAGGTGAGGGCTTATTACCAGAAACGGAATTAAGACATGACCCACGAAAATTTAGATCTACCCCGCACAGTGCTAACACACACACTCTCTCTCTAGCTTATCGGCAAAGGCCCATTCTTGAGTGATGCACTGAGATGCCGAGATAACCCAACTCAACGGGCTCCAATTTCCCCCGCGTTCTGGAGGGTCTAATCTTGATTACAACTGGGAGATAGATTGCGGGGGAGATACAGGCCTTGTTGATACGTATCTGATCTTCTATTCGCTGTACGTTTGCCTGGCCGTAGTTGATTCCGATTAGCCGGCCTGGCCGTTGGGAATAGTCTACAGGGAAAAGTATATTACCTTGACGCTCCTGACTCAATCTGACACTCTTCACTCATCATCATTGCCCATATACTATTCACGATGGCTCAGAGAACAGAAGCCCAGAACTCGGACAACAAACCCGACATCAACACCACAGACAACTACGACGTTGATGTCGGCAGAGTCGAAAATGTTGACTCTTTCACCAAGAGCCCTGATGCAGTCGACCACAACAACCTTCTCGCTCAGGGCCATGCCCCCGTGATGAGACGGTCGTTTGATCTTCTGGGAACGCTTGGTCTTGGCTTCAGCATCACCAACTCTTGGGTTTCATACGCCAGTTGTTTCGGGCAGAGTCTTCTCTACGGAGGTGCCCAAGCGACTGTGTTTGGTCTGATAGTCGCGTGCGCGGTGCAGTGGCTCATCATTCTTGGTCTTGCGGAACAAGCTTCGGCATTTCCATCTTCAGGAGGTGAGCTTATTTTATTTCTGGTGGAGGGAATTAACTAATGAGTTTGGGCGATGGCAGGGCAATATCACTTTACGTATATCCTCGCCCCCAAGAGATATCGACGTTTCGCCGCATTTGCTGTGGGGATAATCAGTGTTCTTGGCTGGTGGGTTATTACCTGCTCTGGCATCTCGAACAACGTGCAGTGCATCATTGGCATGGTCCTATTTGTCAACCCTGATTACCAGCCTCAGAACTGGCATTCGTATCTGCTATACATCGGGCTCATCTTGATCACACGTGAGCCTCCCCCGAGCCCCATGTCGTAGTCATCATGCTGACATCCACAGTCATCCCCATCTTTACCATCCCGCAGAAGCATCTCGGAAAGTGGACACAAGCATGTCTCGCGATATCCGTCCTCGGCTTCGTCGTCGTCACCATTACGATTCTCGCCATGAGCGACGGGTATAACCACCCAAGCTTCATCACCACGTTCGATGGAACAAGCGGCTGGCCAGATGGCGTTGCCTGGGTCATGAGCATCGGCAACGCTATGTACGCCTTTGCCAGTATGGATGCTGTGATCCACGTCGCTGAGGAAATGCACCACCCAGGCAAGGCCATTCCTCGAGCAATGTGAGTCTGTGATGTTGAGACTATCTGACCAGATGTCTAACAATGCTTTTCAGGAATCTCACCATGATTATTGGTCTGCTTACATCAGTTCCGTTCATCTTGGCCATGATGTTTGTCATTAAAGACCTCGATGCCGTCAGGGCTGCCCATCTGCCAAGTCTTGAGGTCTTTCACCAGGCTAACGGGAGCAAGTCAGCCGCACTCGGACTTCAGTCTCTTCTTGTAGTCATCTTCTACAGTACGTGGTGTAACTTAATCATGGATTCAACTGACCGTGGACAGCATGCATGCCTAGCCAATGGATCACATGTGGCCGATTGACTTGGGCCTTCTCAAGAGATGTGAGTCTCCTTCCTCTTGGCTTCCAAAGTCTCGAAGCACGCTGATCAAACTACTTAGCGTGGACTACCATACTCCAACTACTGGAATAACATCTCACCCTCTCTCGGCTTCCCCGTTCGCACGACTTTGCTGTCCATTGGATTCTGTATCATCTATGGACTATTATACATGGCCAGCAGTCAAGCCTTCAACTCCATCATCACCACTGCAGTTCTTGGTGTGAATATCTCATACGCCGTCCCTCAAGCTATCACTCTGATCCACGGGCGAGAGAAAAAGCTGCCTCAAAGGCCGTTCAAACTCGGCAAAGTTGTAGGGTATCTCTGCAATGCGTGGACTCCTCTGTGGGACACAACGATCGGCATCTTCATTTGCTTCCCAAATGCCATTCCTGTGACTGCTGGGTCAATGAATTAGTAAGTTGCACTTCCATTTACACATGCCTTGGTTTTGCTAACGGCTGGTTTAGTGTGTGCTCGGATGCATGATGCTTATCCTGATTGGTCTCTGGTTCACTGTTCGTCGGTACTTCGATGGTCCTGCCATTGACTACGAAATGTTAGGTTTGAGCCGTCCAGAGTAAAACTGAAAGAGATAGCTATCTATGGCTTTCTTGTGATGGAATTGCGGCTGTCGAGCAGGTCAGGTTGGATCCTTGGCCATTTTTAGACTGTACTTTGTTAGGCCCATTAGAAGGAAGTGCTCAAAGCAAATGATAACAAGCATGTGAGAATTTTGTTATGGAATTCTGATCATGTCTTAAATTGGGTCTTTTAGTGTTATATTAACAATCTCATAATACTCATAAACGACAAGATGCATCTTTATGCATTATGTAAGAGCTTTAAAGGGAGTTTGTGCGAGTTTGAACTTTTAGTTAAATCTAACACTTCTTTAGGATGCTCCCCCTTGAGCAGGAAACTATTCATCCTCTGTACAATATATAATAATAAACTCGGTAAATATACCCTAAATCTTCTCATACCCTAGCTGCTGCTAATAAGGTTACTAATTAAGTTATTATAAAAGTATATTATTCTGTTTTTTATTAAGAAACTTATCTTTATTAAGGCTATATATATATTACCTTTTAAAAGCTAAAGTTAAATAGGATTTTTTAGTATATTAGCTTAATATGCTTCGTAAAGGCGTTATAAGCTTTAGGCATTAATTAATATACCCTGAATCTCTTCCAAATTAACTTAAATCTAATTATTATTCAGTATCAAGGTCTGAGGTTTTCTTTACTCCCCTACCTCCTTTATAGGAAGTATATTAACTATTATAGTGCTGAAACACACACTCTTGAGTTTTTGTGTGATATTATAAGCTCTTAGTCGCTGGTCTCAAGTAGAAATAATATCTCTAGCCACAGTCTACACTGAACCGTATCACCAGATGCTAACTGCATGGCAAGAATAAATAAACAGACGCAAAATCCTTCTATCAGCCTTTCAGAATACATGCTAAAGATTTCTAATAACGTAATTTTAGCTTCTGATGACTTATAATACATAGCTCTGCTTCGCACTTTAGCATTACCCAGCCTCGCCACTTCAAAGCTTACTACCACCAGCCTTCTTCTTCGAAGCAACGACCTCGCGATGAGCGACCTGCGCATTCAGACAACCCTGCTCCAAAGCACCATCGATAGCAGCTCTCCATCCATGAGCCCAGTCGGCTGAAGCAAAAAAGACATTGCCGTGTCGACTCTGAAGTTCGTCCTGGTATTTAGACATGTAACCTGGCTGCCACCAAGCAGGACCTCCCTTTGAGAAAGGATCTGTAGCCCAATTATGCAACATCTGCTTATCGTTAGTGATAAAATTTGGGCAACAGGGGATATGCTTCTTACCAGCCTCTTGACATCCATGGGATGGATCTTATTAAGAGCTTCAATAGTCTGTGCCGCATTGTTCTCGGGGATGAAGGTGTCCCGTTCATCTGCACCGAAAGCAACAACGTGAACATCGCCATTCGGCAGCACGCCGTCGCCATAGCCGTACATCAAAACGCCAGGAAATCTCATGCCGTTCCATCTCTCGAGTTCCTTGTTACTCACATCAGCATGAACCTTGGTCATCTGGTTCACATGGCCAATGCTAATGGCGTCTTGCCGACGCTGTGTCAGTGGAGGAGAGAACTCGATATCCTTCTAGACGTTGAGGGGAATAGTGTTGATAATTTTCTTTGCTTGGAATACATTGCCGTAACTGCTAGTCACTGTGACAGGACCGTCACCAGATGAATCTTGAGAGATTGACTTGACTTGCGTGGAGAAGGCATATTCCAGCCCATCTCCAATAGCTTCCTCAAACATTCGCTTCGCAAGTGCAGTCTGGCCATCCCTCAGTTTATATCCCAACCAGACATCAGCAAAGTTATCAGAACTGTGCATTAGCAAGGCATGTGAACGGATCATATCCCAGAGACTTGACTCCTCCATTCTTCCACCTGAAATGTGCAGTAGTAAAGATACCAAGAGACCCTGCTCCTCGGCTGTAAGTTTGTGCTTGATCTCTTCGAAACGGTCGTGGCAGGATAGTTAATCCCACTTCTCAACGGTTGATCGGTCGACGATAGGATTGTCAAGCTGGGCGTGGGGGAGAGGACAGATTGTTCGACCGAATTGGCCGTCGACGTTGACGAACATGTCCCAGGCTTTGGCTTGCATAGCGCCGGCTTCTTCATGGGTGAGCTTGCGCGGTGTGGCACCTATGATGATCTCATATTAGCAATATGGAGCGAAAATGAGGGCGTTTGTGTTCATGCCTGGTACGTCAATGGTGTAGTACCCCTTGTGCATATCCGGACTTCCCGTGGTAATGAGATCGCGGTCCATGTTGTAACGCGTCATTTCTCTAAACAAGTAACCCATATGATGAGTGACCCAAGTTCCTCCCATTTCATATAGAAACCCTTTAACGTCTTAGCAAAATATTAAGATTTGCAAAGGACTTTCATACCATCTTTCTTGGCTGTGTACGTCCTGCCGCCAATTCGATCTCGTGCTTCTATCAGTAGTACGGAATGACCTACGAAACGTCAGGGCTGTTCAATCGATCAACTCGATGCTACTTACTCAGCTGGCTAAGATCTCGAGCTGCCGCCAGACCAGCATACCCAGCTCCAATGACAATAACATCGAATACCTTGCTGGTCGAAGAGACCGATCGCTGAGGCGAGATAACTGCGTCACTCTCGAGTCCCTTCTGAAAGCCAGTGTGAGGCTCCCAGACATGACCGTCCTTAGTCTTCGGTGTCATTCTGAACAAATTGAATTACGAATAAGCGATAAAGAATGGAGAAGCACTCGTAGTCGTAGGATTCGAAGTTGAAAGCTTGGGGTAGCTTGGATGGCGATAAACCCGCCTTAGCTTTATCTAGCTCCTCCGGCCTGTCAAAGCTACTCCAATCAGTAGTGGGTTTCTCAAACCATCTCCAGCCCGGCAAATTCCACAATCGGCCCCATCACAAAGTTGACACTATTTCCTATCGTGGACTCTGCGGGCTTGAAGCTGTTCTTAGTTCCTATTTGGGTAGTAACGAGAGCTCCGCACACAAAGTGGCTTCAGCGGAGTCTCCGATATCTTAATACCGCATTAGGAAATAACTGCAACTTCCATAACCACGGTCATGATAATCATGGCGTCGCTCTTCAGCGTTTGTTCATGAAATCTCCAACCACAGCTCGTCGAAAGAGTCAGACCATACTCAAGCTACACCGTATCATATCACACCGCAACACACCACTCGCATAACTTTAGTGTATTTCTATTCTCAAACATGCCTGACTTTACTGGTCTCGAACTCACCGGCAAGACTGCCATTGTCACTGGCGCGTCCCGGTAAGTTACCCCAGCAACCTCAGGCGAGTGCACTCCTTGACTAATACATTTCAGTGGCCTTGGTGCCGGCATTGCTATCCTTCTTGGCAAGCGAGGCGCCAATGTAGTGGTCAACTACGTCTCTAACGGCAGCAGAGAGCGAGCTGAGAAGGTTGCTCAGGAGATTGAGGGCAATGGCACAAAGGCTATTGTTGTCCAGGCCGACGTTAGCAAGACTGCTGAGATCCCAAAGTTGATTGATGCTGCGCTCAAGATTAGCTCAACTGGCAAGATTGAGATTCTGATTCACAAGTCAATCGTGCTGGAGTTTTGTAAAATATTTACTTACACGTGACTTGCAGCGCTGCTCAAGGAAATGAGGCCAACTTGGTAGACACAACCGAAGAGTTCTATACCCGTCATTTTGACGCCAACGTCAAGGGCCCCATTTTCTTAACAAAGGCGGCAGAGCCCCATCTTCCCAAGGGAGGTAGAATTGTCTTCATCTCTTCAGCAGGTGCCCGTCTCGGTGTCGCTGGACAGACAGTCTACGCTGCTACCAAGGCAGCTGATGAGGCTCTCGTTCGTGTCTGGGCCAAAGAGCTTGGTCAATCTCATGGCATCACTGTTAACTGTGTGAACCCTGGTCCTATCGCCACAGATCAATGGTTCCAGAGCGACGAGCAATTCCTTAAGGATATGCAGCCGCTGATTGACTCTACACCTGCGGCGGCGCGCGTTGGTGAGGTCAGTGATATTGCGCCTCTGGTTGCGTTCCTTTGCACGGATGATGCGAAGTGGACGACGGGATCTGTTCTTTCTGCCAATGGTGGCCTTTACAATTAGATGAGCAGTCTTTAGTTTACACCGTGAGATGAATGAACGGGAAAATGGATAATTTGTTAAATGAATGAACTGGGATTGAAGACTTGTCATGCTGGATGAAGCATGCGATAAGGCTGTCTTATAGTGACTGCACGTAAACTCTAAGCTGACATCGTGAGGTTATGACGCTCAAAGCTCAATGACTCGCTCCATGAACAATTAGAATATTTTGATTACACAGAATTGTACCTGGCGATATGTAGAATCATCAGGGTTTCTCCCCGGCTCATCAGGTATATCTCCAGATACCCAAGGCATTCGTTACTAAGATAAGCACTGTAACGGTTTCGATTCCCCGTAGTCGACTGCACTAAAAACCTGGCGGGCGGGGGCGTTTTTAGTGTCATGATGGGGGATGGGTCCAGGTTTCGTCTCCCCATGCTTGGAAAGCTTTCTGAACCCTTCCCCTCATTCACACCCTCACTTTTCTGTGCCACGCTGTGATACCAACCTTGTTACTGAGAAATCGAAGAAATGTCAGCGGTAAAACCTCCCCGCGAGTTCAAGTTCGTCGGCGCATTCAGTCGCAAGAGGAGACGTCGCGATGGGACAGCGCCTGGATCGATTGACTTCGTCGGACCGACGACACGATCGAAACAAGCAGCGACGTCAACATCAAAAGCTCAGAGTGAAGCTGTTGCTGCTGCTGAGCCTGCGACGCCGCCAAAGTCAGCGGATGGTGGTAGCGAAGGCCAGGATAAGAATGCAGAGAACACTACGCCCCCAGCGGTAGAAGCGACAGAGACAGAGACGCAAGCTCCTCTCGCGGCGACGCCAGTGATTCCTCACGAGAATGCCAATCCGTTTGATCACGATATGATGATGGGGGAGGGCATCAACAGCGGGAGTGATATCGACTGGACATATTCAAGTCTCATGAACCCTTTCATCGATACGGGTCCCTCGTTCATGGCGCCTTTCGACCAGGTCAATGGCCAACTGCCGATTTATTTTGGCCCAGACATTCCTCTCATTCAACTGGGGGACTCGTCATCTACCGACAACTCGCCTGAGAATCACTTTATTGGGCCTCAGTTGCCAAACGACACTGATGGTACAGCGGGCGATTTTGGTGAAAATGCGCAGTCGCAAGCGATTGAGGAGCCTGTTTTGCCATTGCTCAACTCTCATGCAGCGCCGAGCAACATCAGCGACACCATTGCTCAGCTACTGACTCGATGTACGTACAAACTGCTCGACCTTTATTGAGTATCATGATCTGAGAATAATTAGATGACCAAGAGTTTTGCGTCATGCCCCTAACTCACGACTTTGCCGCCAACCCATTCCGATTCGACGCCGAAACAGGTCGCGGCTCCCAACTTCTCCTCCACTGCATCCTGGCGCTCTCCTACAAACACATCAATCGCGATACGGGATCTTGTGCTGGAGAGGCCAAGATGCATAAGAAGAAAGCTCTCCAGATGCTCAAAGACATGGAAGGCGTGTCGCAGGCGTCACCGATTGAAGCGACTTTCTTGGATGCGGTGCTGATCCTCATGACACTTGATGTGAGTCATTCTGCAAAGGCCTCTCAGTCAGGACTGATATCTCCAGTGCGCAACATCTGCTCATGGGCCGTGGACGTGGTATCTAAAACGAGCACATAAAATGATTCAAGCTGCCGAGTTCTGCAATATGAAGAAGACACCCCGAATGCAAGCACGTATAGAGATGCTAGTCTGGTAAATCACCAAACACGATCTACACTACTCGAATATTGACTTTTACAGGTGGGATGTTACTCTAGCCCTCACAAGCCGTCAAGGATGCGTCCTCTCCGAATCCACGATAATCAGCCTCTTCAACCACGACAAAACAAGCGACGAGACCTTCTACAGTGTATCAGGCTGTCCCGAAGCCTTATTCCGCCACATGATCCGCCTCGGATCATATGCACGAGAATTCGAACTCATAAGCAGCATGACCTGCGCAAAGTTCGACATGGAACACGTTCTAAACGTAGAAAAGGAGATTCGCGAGTGGACTGATCCGGAATACGGTGACATCCCAGATCAACTCGTCTCAGACACTACAGGCTGCGACATAGGCGATGTAGCACACTACAAAGAAGACTTACACCACTGCGCCGAAGCGTGGAGATACGGATTACTAATCTACATCGGCCGCGTGTTCAAATGGCAGCGCGATTAACCCGCTCCGTCAATACTAGGCTTCCTCGCGCGCAAGACGCTTAATCAAGTTACGTCTTGTAGGTATAGTTCCATGCTGCAGAAGCAACTGCTTCTTCCTGTTTTCTTGGCGGGGTGCGAAACATCGGATGAGCATTTGAGACAGGCGGCGAGGACGTATTGCAGTTGGTGGAATGAACGGACGAGGTATGATATGTTTTTGACGGCGAATACGCTGCTGGAGGAGGTTTGGGCTGATGAGGCGGTGGATTCGTGGTGGGGGTCTGTTATTGATCAGAAGAGTCGGTCGAATGTTAACTCTGGGGAGGGGAGGCAGTATTTATTCGGATGATCTTGGGTTTGTGCAAAATCTGACGTTGGCCGTAGTTTTCATGGTGCTGTTTTGTGTTTCTGTTGGCGTTGAGAGGGATGGCTAGCTGTCGCTACCTGGATATCAGAATGAGGGAACAGGGATTCACAATTTAAATCTATGGGAGATTTTTATGATATATAAATAGTACTTGCTATTTTTACCGGCATTTTCTATCTTCCGAATGGAGTCATATCTACCAAGATACTTGGGCCAGTCTGTCCATTGACTGCCTTGTTATGCAGGCAATTATTGCTTGAAAGAAGTCAAGCAGGATGACAAAGTCTATGAACAATTCTAAAATGAAGGACTGATACGCTGCTCACTATCACCTTGTTTGTTTTGTCGCAAAATGTAGACATCGTAAAATTGGGCATTTGTGGTTCTCGACCTAATGAGTAAGGACAAGAGATTGTGTACAGACTCTCAGTTAATCTGACTAATCTCGCCAGCAACTATTCGTTTTTATTTCTTATCAGATTTCCATTCTCCATCTCCAGATAAATGCTCGTATTTTCCTGGCGATTAAGTCCTGAACCAGTGGTCTTCGTGTGTCAATATCCTGTCGGGGCAACATGGCTTTGCCGCCACAATAATGCATCAACAATCAGTGGGGTTTACCCTCAGCACAGTCCACAGTACGGTAAAGGCATTTCCCAGTACAGATCGGCCAATTTGGGGGGTTGCACGATGGTGCGCCATTGGGCTGGTGGCAATCCGGTTGGTTGCGGGGGCGCGGTATTACCCAAAGAGGAATTACGCGATTGAGTAACTACTGTGTCGAGACTTGGTGAGCATCGTTCTCCATGGAGACTCAGGGCTCGCAAACAACAGTCTTTGGGTGCATCTGTAGACATCTGCAGCATCTACAAAAGCAAAGGTTGAATCGTATCAGATTAATCCATCTCACCAACCAAACACATCATCTCAATCATCAATCACAACACCAAATCAAAGACTCCCAGCAAATACACGGCAAAATGGCAACCATGGATGAGGTATTCGCCGGCTACGCCAAGCGACAGGCCGCCCTCGAAGCCAGCACCAACATCCTCTCCCAAGGCATCGCCTGGGTCGAAGGCGAGCTCGTCCCCCTGCAATCCGCCCGCATCCCCCTCCTCGACCAGGGTTTCATGCACAGCGACTTGACCTACGACGTGCCCTCCGTCTGGGACGGCCGCTTCTTCCGCCTCGACGACCACCTTGATCGTCTCGAGGCCAGCTGCAAGAAGATGAGGCTGCGCTTCCCCATCCCCCGCGACGAGATCAAGAAGATCCTCGTTGAGATGGTCGCCAAGAGTGAGATCAAGGATGCGTTCGTTGAATTGATCGTTACTCGTGGGCTCAAGGGCGTGAGAGGTGCGAAGCCGGAGGAGTTGCTGAATAATAACCTGTACATGTTTGTTCAGCCGTATGTTTGGGACATGGATCCTGAGGATCAATATCATGGTGGTCGTGCGATTGTTGCACGAACCGTACGACGTGTTCCACCTGGCTCTATTGATCCCACCATTAAGAATCTTCAGTGGGGTGATCTCGTCCGCGGCTTATTCGAGGCCAACGATCGTGGCGCCACTTATCCCTTCCTAACCGACGGCGATGCCAACCTCACCGAGGGTTCAGGCTTCAACGTCGTCATCATCAAGAATGGCGTGCTCTACACACCTGATCGTGGAGTCTTGCAGGGAATCACAAGAAAGAGTGTCATCGATGCTGCGCGATCTTGCGGCTATGAGATCCGCATTGAGCATGTTCCCGTTGAGGCTACTTATCAAGCTGACGAGATTTTGATGTGTACAACTGCTGGTGGTATCATGCCTATCACTACTCTGGATGATAAGCCTGTGAATGATGGAAAGGTTGGACCTATTACGAAGGCTATTTGGGATCGTTACTGGGCTATGCACTGGGAGGATGAGTATAGCTTTAAGATTGATTACTAGGGCTTTGTTCAAGATAGGCGTAAGTACTGGCATTAAATAAAATGAATCTTACCTTATATCAAACCTAACTGAGCTGCATACGACCCTCATAAGTGAGATGATTCTGAACATGTCTCGCGCATAATGTCTAAGTTGTTAGCTAGATGTGTTATTTGCAGTTGAGGCTCGTGACTGAGAGCTTAAATCAGCAGACAGAACTTAAAATATGTATCGCGTTCTTCAGAAGCTGTATATACAAGGTCAACAGACTCTGGTGATCAAATCACGCAAATCGCCTCTAATGGCCTTGAGACACCTTGTCTCGACCTCTGATAAGAGCTAACCTCGAATAACTTTGCAACGCCGAGCTTTCAAACCTTCTTTGAACGCAATCATCGTCTCATCCATTTTCGGTCGCCACGCTTTCTCAACATTGCCGTGCGTATCCATACTTACCCCGGACTCAAGTCTACCAAAAGCAGCACTAAGGATCCGAGCTGATAAGGTTATTGGTCTAGCTTGAGGTGCCAGACTACATATCTAAGACCCAAACAGGCGAAGTCTCAGTTTGGTGTTAGCGCTTTCCTTGGCCACGCTTGGTGGCAGTGATGGGACGATCTGGTTTGGGTTGTCATATTTCCTATTCAGGTAATAACCTCTACAAATGTCTCGACGCTGCGGCTAGTCTACGCTTTCTAGAATCCAGCCTACTATCTCGGAACTGCCATGTATAGCTTCAAATGAATGTCGGTCCCTCCGTAGTAGACATGTAACATCTTGTGAATTGTTCCATCAAGCTGCGTCACATCACATCATCTAATTCGCAAAGACAACATGAGTGCACACGATACCATCGTCATCTTAGGGTAAGTGGTTAACGCGGTAATCTTCAGGCTTCTTACGGTCATATACTGACTTCCATGCAAGGGCCGGCATCATCGGCCTTGACGTAGCTCTTGTCCTGGCAGAAAGAGGCTACGGCAAGTCCATCACAGTCATCGCGGAACATCTTCCTGGAGATACGGCACTGAGTTATACCTCTCCATGGTAAGCAATATCACCTGGCTGCGCTGTACTTGCTCATACTAACCTCACTATAGGGCCGGGTGCAACTTCTCAGCTATCTCTGGTACAGATGCCAATGCCTTGAAATGGGACAAGGCAGGATATTTCCATCTCAGTAAGCTGGCATCTGAGAGACCAGAGCAATCGTATGTCAAGCGAACTCCTTCAACGGAACTTTGGGACGATAATGTTCCTCGTGATAAGATCCAGGCAATGTCCGAGTATCTAGAAAACGTAAGTACAAGCCTAGCAGTCAAGTTCTCCAACTAAGGCATCCCAGTTCCAAGAAATACCTGTCAATGAGCTACCTGAGGGCGTCAAATTTGCCGTCTCCTTTACTACTCTGACTGTCAATGCACCCCAGCATCTGCTATATCTCTATGAGAGATTAAAGAATGACTACGGTGTTCGTTTTGTTCGTCAAAAGCTCCCGGATCTTCAGACGGCATTCTTCAGTCAATCCACTCAGATTGTCTTCAACTGTACTGGAAATGCTGCGCGAAAGTTGCCGGGAGTCGAGGACCCCAAGTGTTACCCCACTAGAGGACAGGTCCTCTTGACTCACGCCCCCGATGTTCACACGAACATCATGAGACATGGTAAAGATTACGAGACATACGTCATCCCTCGCCCGTTCTCTAAAGGTCATGTGATTCTCGGAGGGTACATGCAAAAGGGCAACGCGTAAGCTATCCGTCTCTATCCGTGTCTTGTGCTTTGAACTGTGGGCTAACAATTCTTCTCAGTGATGGCGCCACCTACTCCTACGAGACAGAGTCCATCTTGGAGCGCACCAAGGAACTCAGTGATGAAGTCAGAAATGGAAGTCTAGATGTTCTGGCAGCTTTCTCAGGCCTTCGTCCGTCACGCGAAGGCGGCGCTCGAGTAGAGAGGCAAGATTTGACTGTCGCGGGACAAAAGCGCACTGTGGTTCACAACTACGGTGCAGGTGGCACTGGGTTTTAAGCCGGTTATGGAATGGCTTTAGATGCCGTTCGTGCTGCCGAGCCTGTTCTGTCCAAGCTTCGGACCGATCCCAAGTCGAAGCTGTGATACATCTTGACGAGACTATAATAACTTCATGCGAAGGTTCATTGAAAGTCACTAAGAAACGGTCACTAGATGCATGTGAAAGAGCCAGTATGTAATAAACAAGGAAAGATGTACTATTGTATTGACAGTATTGCTTCTAAGCTATGTTCTTTTCGTGTGCGAAATATGATAATATTTAAATACAAAAAACAAGTCATGTAGGTCGTAAGGTGCTCAGTCTAAGTCAAGTATGCAAGTCGTTGCTCTCATGGTCCCGGACACTTTGAGATGCATGTAGGTACATAGGAAATCTTAAAAGAAGTAAACAGGATAAGGAGGCTTCTCATAGCCAGCCTTGGAAGTAGTGGTGTGCTCAGCCGCCTTGGGGGTCGAGACAGGAGTCTCGTAGAGCTTGGTGGTAGATCGGATGAAGGTGGTGACCGTCCCGTTGCCAGGAACCAGATGGGTAGGGATGGTAGGAGGAAGACCCTTGGTAGGAGAGGGGTAGACGTGAGAGTTCCATGGCTGAATGTGGGTGGTGGCTGTGGCGTAGACGGTGGAAGAGACGGCGCCGATGGGGCAGTCGGTAACCGTGGGAGGGCAGGCAGTGACAGTGAAGTACTTGGTGGTGTAAAGAGTGGATGTCGAGTTACCAGGAGGGTAGTAAGTGGCACCAGGGCCGGGAATGACCTGAGTCTTGGTGACGGGGCAGAGAGTGGTTGAGAGAGCGATGGTCTCGGTGGTGACGTGGGGAGTACCAGGGCAGTTGGCAACGTGGGGAGCGCAAGCAGTGACGGTTCGGATGTTGGTAGTGTAGACGGTGGAGGTAGACCAGCCGGTTGTGACGATGTGCTGAGTTGGGACGGGGTAGGTCTGGTGGTTGCCACCGGCGGGCTGAGATGGTTGGCCAGGAGTGCTGGGCTTAGTGGGAGAAGACTGCTCCTCGGTAACTGGGCAGACGGTGGTGGAGATGGCGATGGTCTCGGTGGTGACGTGAGGAGTGGGGGTCTCGCAGTTGGGGTGCTCGCGGCCGCAGGTAGTCACTGTTCGGACACTGGTGGTGTAGACAGTTGAAGTAGACCAGGCGGTAGTCTTGGCTGGCTTAGTGGGCTTCGGCTGAGTAGCTTGAGGCTCAGTAGGCTTAGGCTCGGTGTGGTGCTGCTCAGTCACAGGGCAGATGGTAGTGGAAACAGCGATAGTCTCGGTGGTGACGTGAGGAGTAGGTGTCTCGCAGTTAGGGAACTCAGGACCACAAGCAGTGACAGTGCGAATGCTGGTGGTGTAAATGGTGGAGGTAGACCATCCAGTAGTCTTGGCTGGCTGGGTGGGCTGAGACTGGGCGGGCTTAGACTCAGTAGGCTTGGGTTGAGTGGGCTTGGGCTGCGTGGGCTTAGGCTGAGTCTGATGCTGCTCAGTGACAGGGCAAACAGTCGTGGAGATAGCAACAGTCTCAGTGGTGACATGGGGAGTAGGTGTCTCGCAGTTGGGGAACTCAGGAGCGCAAGAGGTTACAGTGCGGATAGTAGTCGTGTAGACAGTTGAAGTGGTCCACTCAGTAGTAGAAGCAGGCTTAGTAGATCCAGCTTCGGACTGACCACCAGTGACGGGCGTGGTAGAGTGTCCCTCAGTAGCAGGCTTCGTCTCGGAGGCAGGCTTAGTCTCAGTGGGAACTGGGTAGGTGGGCTTGGTCTCAGTGGCGGGCTTTGTCTCAACAGGCTTGGTGGGAGCTGGCTTTGTCTCTGTGTGGTGCTCCTCTGTGACAGGGCAGACGGTGGTAGAGATGGCGATAGTCTCAGTTGTGACATGCTTGCCATTGGGGCAGTCAGGGACATCGGGAGCACAAGATGTCACGGTGCGGATAGTAGTCGTGTAGACAGTCGAGGTAGTCCACTCGGTGGTGCTAGCGGGCTTGGACTCAGTAGGAACTGGGTAAGTGGGCTTAGTCTCAGTAGCAGGTTTCGTCTCGGTGACAGGCTTGGTCTCGGTAGGATGCTCCTCGCCGCCAGTGGTAGCAGGCTTAGTCTCAGTCTCAGTAGCAGGCTTAGTCTCGGTGGCAGGCTTTGTAGATCCTTCATGGTGAGTAACTGGCTTAGTAGACTGCTCCTCAGTCTCAGTAGTAGGTACAGTAGACTGGCCCTCTGTCTCGGTAGCCTGGGTAGGAACGGGGTAAGTGGGTGATTCCTTGGTGACAGTAGCAGGCTTGGTAGATCCAGCTTCGGTCACGGGGCAGACAGTAGTAGAGATGGCGATAGTCTCGGTTGTGACATGCTTGCCATTGGGACAGTCAGGGACATCGGGAGCACAAGAGGTGATGGTGCGGATGGTGGTGGTGTAGACAGTTGAGGTGGTCCACTGGCTGGTCTGCTCAGTATTGGGCTGAGTCTCGGTTGTAACCTTGGGAGGAGGATAGGCACCGGTAGAAGTTCCAACAGCAGGCTTGGTAGACTCAGCAGGAAGGGACTCGGTCTCAACACCGGTCTCAGTCGTCTCGGTGCCCTTGGGGGGAGGGTAGACACCAGTTGAGGTACCGACAGCAGGCTTAGTGGTCTCGCTCTCAGCAGGAACAGTCTCAGTCTCAGTGCCCTCGGTGGTCTCAGTAGTAGCCTTGGGAGGAGGATAGACGCCAGTAGATGTACCGACAGCAGGCTTGGTAGTCTCGGTCTCTGCAGGGACAGACTCCGTCTCAGCTCCCTCAGTAGTTCCAGTGGTAACCTTGGGAGGAGGATAAGCACCAGTGGATGGAGAAGTCTCAGTCTCTTGAGGAACCGACTCAGTCTTGGTCTCGGTCTCACCAGGCTTAGAGACAGTAGCAGTCTCGGTACCTTGGTGCTCAGTCTCGGTAGAGCCGGGAACAGGATAAGTGGGAGTACCAGTCTCGCCATGCTCAGTCACAGGCTTGGTCTCAGTTACAGGACAGACAGTAGTAGACACAGCGATAGTCTTGGTAGTGACATGTTGACCGTTGGGGCAGTCGGGAACCTCAGGAGGGCAAGAAGTGACAGTGTACACATTGGTAGTGTAGACAGTCGAGGTAGTCCACTGTGTAGTAGAAGCACTGCCAGTTTCGGTCTCGATACCAGTATCGGTAGTCTCCGTACCCTTAGGAGGAGGATAGACACCGGTTGAGGTGCCAACAGCAGGCTTGGTGGTCTCGGAAACAGCCGTGGTACCCTCGTTACCGGCCTGGGTTGTGGGGGTCCCCTCGGGAGGAGGATACGCGTCAGTAGAGCTGCCAACATCGGTAGATCCCTGCTGGGTTACATCGGTGCTACCGGGAGCAGTATACTCGGAAGTGGGGGTAAGAGCCTCAGTTGTATCTTTGCCGGGCTTGGTGGTCTCGGTGTTGGCGGGAGGAGGGTACAGGTCAGTTGAGGTTTTACCCTCAGCGGTAGTCTCAACGGCAGTAGTCTCGACAGCAGTAGACTCATGCTCAGATTCAGATGGAGTGTTCTCGGGAGGAGGGTAAGCACCGGTAGGAGTGGACTCTTCAGATGTGACAGCGGCAGAAGACACTTGCTCAGTCTCTGTCTTTTGGGTGTTCACAGGAGGGGGGTAGGCTCCAGTTGGTGTTGAGGCCTCAGTGGTATCTTGTCCAGGCTGGGTGTTGGCAGGAGGAGGATAAGCGTTGGAAGGAGTCTCGACAACAGAAGTGTCTTCAACAGGCTTGCTTGCACTCTCGGTAGCTGCAGACTCGGGAGGTGCATAGTTGGTAGTTTCTTGGTGCTCGGAAGTAGCGACAGTGGGGACTGCATAAGGAGAAGTCTCCTGCTCAGCAGGCTCAGTGTTGGCAGACTGAGCGGGAGGAGGATAGAGGTCAGTAGAGACGGCCGGGGCTTGATAGACCGAAGTTGTCACGGCCGGAGGAAGATTGTAGTCTCCCCTTGGTTGCTGACGACGATGGTCTAAAACGCCAGCGTTGGCCGCGCTAAAGGCAACGGCGCTGAGTAGAAAGAAGCTTCTCATGTTTCCTTTGTTTCAACGAATGTTGTGAAGCGAATGGAATGTTTATTTATGTGAAACGAAAGTGAACTGTTGCTGAGGAAAGGAATGTGTAACGAGCTGGTGTAGCCTGAATCTTTATACCAATCTCGAGATCGGATGTCAGGTTACAATTTCAGCTGAAGATGGATTGTTTCTCCACGTCAGTCGAACGCGCAGATCAATCATGATCCAAAGTTGGAAGCGGCTCCATGGCCATGCAGGCCCGAAGTGGGAATACGGGCGCTTGCATACAAAACATAGCAGGGTGAGGTCATTCCGGATCTGCCCAAACGGGGATTGACAGGGCGGTCAGTCGATGGGTTGTTGGATGAGAGAGAGTGGTTTGGGCAGAAAGGCGCGTGCGTTTTGATAGTGGGTAGTGGATCAGAGACATGGTTGTTGGACATCCGAGATACCCAGGCGGCTCGGTTCCAAAAATACAGTTGCGGTAGAAACGCTGTGCCGATCATTTCATGATGTGGCCTGGTCCTCACGGCGTAAAAAACGGAGTGGGTTCAGGTGGACATGGGGTCGAATCGACGTTGGATAGGCCGCTGAATAATGCAGCAGCAGAAACGGTTCTAACAATAACCAAATGTCTTGAAAGAACCAAGGTTGACGCACACGAAACATGCACAAGGCCTCGTGTTTGCGACGCACGACTCCGCTCGAGTGCTGTGACTGTGTGCTATTATTGGATCACTCTGGCCACTCAGCGGCTATAAACAGAACTCGACGTCCTGCACGTCTTGGTTGGTTGGGATGATCCCTGCAAGCTTCGTGCCCTGATCGAATCATCCAGTCGTCGTCTGCCAAGCAAGGTCTGGATTAGATTCCGCACTAGAAATTCATCCACGTCAATTGATGATTCTATGCATTAGTTTTTGTTTACGAGATGGAACTGAGAATAGAATATTCTGAGAGTTTTTTTTTTAATTTCTTGCAGAAGAAGCGGGACGTGATTCTTTTCTTAGATGTTTGCCCTACCAACGACCTCGTGTTCGGCATCATTTATCCAGCAGGGAAAGATGAGAGAAAATAGATTTGAAGGAAACGAGAGATGATCTGGGTTGAAGCGCTTGGGAATAATTGCAAGACATGATCGTCATTGATCCTCGAAGCAAATCTTGACCTGAAACAAATGGCTTAAGATCTGGCGCTTATTGATCCCGTTTGTTAGCGCGCGGTTCGTTGGGATTTGGGGCTTTTTTGGCAGACGCCACCGAGGCCACTGGAATGCGGGCAGCGGATGAACCGTCGACGCCACGTCGCACCATCAGCTAGACTACCCTGGACGTAACGAGGAAACTGTAGATTCGATGAAACGTTGCTTCAAAGTCTATTATACGAGCTGCTCATTGTCGCAGATGTTATTATATATTTAAAAGAGAGTCTGTTTATCGGATAGTGCATATTGGACGGGTTATTGGCTGACATGGAAGTAATATTTGCGATCCACCTAGTGAACGGTTTATGGAAAATCTGAAAAATACAGCAACAGAGTGGACACGCAACATAAGTAAACAAGTATGAGCCTCTGACCTTCAAAATATAATTTGATTAAAATCTGTATTGTGTTATAGGTCATCTATAGTAATTGCATTTTATTTTATAATCCGCTCTAAGCACCGCCGGTTTCTGCCAGCAGAGTCTCAAACTTGCTGCCTTCGACCGATAACTACTGATAAGACGCTCGTATCCACACCAATTGAATGTCACTTTTCAAGGCCGGAGAGGCCATAGCGTGAAAAAGCTTTAACATCCCCTCTCGGCCCGCCTTGTTAGTAGGACGCAACGCTCCTAATAATTCAAGTCATTCAATTCAATTCAAGTCTAACCCCCTGACTTATAAGTCAGGAAAAAAGGCTATAAATTAAGTCTACCTAGGTCTAGACTTATAAGTCTATAAGTTAATATAGTAATATTAGTAATATATAAGTACCTTTTACTTTTATATTTAAGGAAATTCTATAGACCTAAGGTAGGTCTTTTTATCTTATCTTAGCTTCTTAGTTAGCTAGAAAAAATCAGCCTTATAAGGCCAGCTAACTTAATTAGGAACAGATTTACTTTACTTGAGTTATTTAACTTAATTTAAGCCTAACCCCCTGACTTATAGCTAATCCAAGCCTGACCCCCCCTAAGTCAAGCCAATTAAAAAGCCGGCTTGAATTGAGTTATTAGGAGCGTTAGTGGGACGATCGGCGACTCCACAGTGATCAGTGCCAGTCAGTTGCTGAACCGGCAAAAATCCACGACCGGTAGGTGAAATTTGTGCCTTGACGCAACGAGAAAGACCCCTTCGTCACCCTCATCTAGCCCCGCTCCTCATCTGTTGATTCGCGAATGTAGATCTCGGAAGCCCGTAACTACGCGATGGACAGCCATGATGAACATAAGTTGGTGCGCCAAACTTCGCACTGCCCAGCATGTCTTCCTATAAGAGTTTGAGAAACATCTTGAAGGGCTATCTTGAAATACAGGTGACGATGCTCTAACCCTCAGCATAAGTGACCACTGGCTCAACGACCTTTGCACCAGAGAATGGGAAACAGAGACCCGATCGCACAAATATTATTGGATATCTTTACGGAAATCGACACTCACTCAGGATGTCGTGTCTCCCATTTCTTTGTGCCAGACTATATTGTAATTATTGGTCGAGCTAGATAAGACTCGGGCCTTCAACCTCGAGCTGGGCAAAACTCCTTCTGTGAGAAGCTGCGAGTACCAAATTGCTGGAGCCGGTTCATACCAGGCTGCAGCGGAGTTCCGGCACATTCTGTCCCCAATTGGTAGTCCTTGATACGAATATTATTAAACCCGGCTTTGCAAAGCCGTGTATCGATTAAGGGAGTCTTCGGCCATAGTATGCCAAAATACCCAGGACTCTTTTCAAGACTTGCCGCTTCTTTTCTGAGGTTGTTTTCAGGTCTACTCCCAATTTGGGATTCATTGATAACTAAAGCTTATGATGTATAGGAAAATCCTATATGATAGTTATAGTATCCCAGTCCTCTGTAGTCTCTTTTAGTTTTTCTACCAGATTGCTATGCAAAGGCGTCCATCCTATTCTCTTCATGTATATAACGCCATTTACATTTATCAGAGTTACTACTAGGCCAAATCCCTCCTTAAATTTGAAGTTCCCGTCGCTCTTATCTTGCTTCGATTCTGCTTCTTTTCGCTCGGCCTCACATGGGGGAACAGGCGATGCCTGCCCGTAACCACCCAGAAGCAGCATTTTGATATCCATGCCCTGCCATTGATCAGAGGAATTTAGGTCTTGTTTGTCCAACACCAGACGTGTGTCACTAACCTCACCACTATACTTTGTGCAGAAATTCGGGTGTGGCCTTACTCCCGCTCGTTCGAGTCTTTCAGCATGATCTCCGCCTGGTATCATACTTTTCGTCAGCTGTGTTAGTGGCCCCCGCATGTGCACCGATGCACTCTTGACTTGCCCGTAGTGATCGTCAGGGTTCGTCAATTCAATCTGCCAGTCCTCAACTATAGCGATTGATCTCCAGTTTAGCTTTTTATTGAGCACTACGGTGCCTTGAAAGCTTGCCCAGCTCCAGCTTGGGCCGACGTATTCGTTGATAGGTTGAGGATTCTGTCTCCACAGGCCGTGCCAAGCCAGTTCTTGGACCATCACGCTTGACCACAGCCCTGCCACATACTCATCTTTGAGTAGACCACCTAAAAGGTTTGCGATACCACTCAAGGCGGGGAATTTATCGGCAGGGTTGGTCAGATCTCGATCGCTGTATTTCCAGATTATCGACGACCAAGTCTCGAGTGCTTTCCGAGCGGATGACCGATTCTGCATAACATGACTCAAGTCACAGTAAGGCTTGTCAGTTTTGCACCCATCCTCGCTTCGCATGCCGTGCCGACATTCGAAATACATCTGTCCAGAGTTGTAGTGAATCACACGTGCGGCCAACAATCGCTCCTGCAGTGCCCACGCACGCTTCGTAAGAGGCTCATCAGAAAACTCAGCATTAGCATACAGAATCTCGTCGCTATTCGCACAAAGCTGTGCGTGAACATGACCGATACCTGGAAGTGTCAAGCTGGCACTGATGCGAGCCGGACGAATGTGGAAACAACCCCCGGCCGAATCACTAGCATGGTTCGCCGCTATAACCACGTAGGCATCAGAGTACACGTTCAACATTCGAGATGACTCATGCGCCCAGTCTTCGGTGTCACCCTGAATTATGCAAAGACTATCGATCCAAAGGTATGGTATACCAAGATATCTGGACACTAGTACCGCATCTCGAAAGGTCTTTGGCAAGTCTGTAACTAATATACCAGACATGTGTGCGCGAATTGAGGTGCGAGTTGTAGTCAGCATTGGCCCTGAACCCCAGCAGTGTGATAAAGATGCATACTTTCCCACTGTACCCGCATCAGGCTCGATGAGCTTGATGCTGCTATGACCAATGCAGTCGATAGCTAGTACACGAGAGGGTAGGGTCGTATGGCTGTGACAGCACTTCTCATGGTTGTCTTGGCAGTTCTTGAGCCACGAGCTCACAACACGGAGGGCACCGGATGACCCAGAATCCTCGCAAAATGGCCTCAAAGAAATCTTCCCTGCTAGGGGACTGGGGCCCTCAGCTGTAAAAGCAACACTTCCAACTAGTAACGCTCTATGATCACGACTTGTGATGAAAACAAGAAACCCATACTCTCCCCCAAACCTTTGAGTTAGGTACAGTCTCTTGCCTGACAAAACGGCATCATGATTTACGCCAAACTCTTGATAAAAAGTGCTGTTTTTCCCGGCTTGGCGTCGATTATTCAAGTCTTGAGCGGCATTCTGAACTAAGGTGCAAAGCGGGCAATTCAGAGCAGCTGACTCTGCGAGTGTATCAAGGCTACCCTGCCAGGGAAGCCCAGGCTCAATGCCACCTGGATATCGCTGCTTTCTGCCCTAAGAGAGAACTCATTCAACTGACGGTCGCCGAAGACGCAATGGAAGTCTTCGGATCTTGTGGGTTCTGGCAGAGCAGAAAAGTCAACGACACGGCTATAACCACACAAGCTCATAATTGCAAATTTGACAAGGGGCTTATAGTGAGCATTAAATTGTTATTCTGCAAAAAAAAAAAAAAAAAAAAAAAAAAAAAACTGTTATACGTTAAGAACTCCAGCAAGTTCAGGTTCTTATATAAAATGTGACTGTGACTAACATCAGGCTGCGCTGATTGATTGATGCCACATCAGGCTGCGCCACCACCATTTCTGTTATTTAATGCAGTTGTTCCAGCATTGCCTCGTTTCGCCCTGCGCGCAGGAAGACCAATTATATTGTGTCTTATTCGAATACAGTAGTGGCTTGGATACATGCATCGTAATTGGGACCAGGGTATGCTTGGTTGAGACCAGGATGAAAATGACACATAGAATCAATCCAGGCCTCAGAATTGTAGCCAGCTATCTACTTCTCAGGGTTAAAGATATCGTATTGGTGCGGCGACTACTAATTCCTGTACTGCAGTTAACCCCCTTGGTGCTTGTCTTCTAAGCCTCAAAAGCTGCTAGGCCCTTTATGGTCTTAAGTCGGGACAGAACATGAAACAAAGGACTATACAGGAATATCATAAGATGATGCTTGGTTGCCAGGGCTGCTGTCTGAGGTTGTGTGCTGGTTGTTCACTGTCAGATGCCAGCTATGACGCAACTCGACACTGAACTGGCCAATGGGCCACCGTAGCTCCATGTCGTAGTACCTACATGCAGTTGAAAGACCAAAAAGTAATGAAGGGCCTCAATTCTAACGGTACAGGTCAAAACAATTGTCAGTTCCAGCCAGCCGTCCACTTTAGGCGCAAAAATTGACCAGTCATCCTTGGCGTTTGACAAACCGGCTGGTAGGGCGCCTTTTATCCCAATCAGTAACTATACTATAGACAAATACATATCGCTAGATATCGAAAAATAGAAGTCTAGGGAGGAGGGTGCTAGCTGCCTATTAGTTCTATTATTTATACGGCGAGAACCACTTTATACACTTGACAAGACCTGACTATTATATCGTCATCGCCCAAAGGCTATATAGTAAGTTCTCGATACCGACGAAAGCTTTACCGGGGTTGACTGGTTGAATCAGGTGCAAGCTCAAGGTCTCGAAGATAATCAGTGTCTCATGGAACAAATTCGATTACCTGCTGTGGCATGAACCTCCATTTTAATAATTGTTCTGCTGCTATCCTTGAACTTATGAATATATTCTGAGAGGCTTAGTTTCCGAGGTTATGGAGACTGGAAGGTCCGCAGCAATAAACTTAAATATTTTTAACTTTATGATAATGGAGACTGCTGAAAAGCCGTTTCACATGCCGAGGTTAGCCATAGCCCCTGTAGCTGTCATACCATAGAGTTTGAAGATCTGTCCTTTCTTGAATCAATTAAGGAGTTATTAGACAGAAGGCCAAGCTATAAGAATAAGCTTTAGGCAGCTGCCAAAGGAAGTCTGACAGCTAGCTGAAGCTTATTTATATATGGCGTATATCGACCAATAGCATAACCGACGTCCAAAAACCGTTGATTGTTTTATCGATTAGCGATAGTCAAACTGGAGTTGTTTTGGGTCCTCCCTAGAGCTAATTTTAAGGCTAGCTAGCTCATTTGGAACGTTATGAGCCAATGGTCGACAAAGCCCCATCAGACATCTCAACGATCTCGGGGCGAAACAGCATCATGGTTTCTAAACTAATGCTAAGATTAACTTGTTCCGGCCTTAGAACGACCTTCTTGAATAAGCTTAGAAGACGATGCGGTGAAATGAAACTTGGGGCTTTGGTGTCTACTATTCCTTGATCGGCTATAAGAGCAGTGGGTTCTTGCAGGCTCGAATAAAGTAAAACGTCGTGGTTCGTGGAGAAATGTCAGATTTTGCAAAGACCATAAAGTTTAGAAGTCAGCGCGCGTCGAGGGCCTCGAGTCAGTGTGTGATAGGTGTTGCACATGTTTTCCATAGATGCTGTAGCCGAAACAAAGATCTGAAGTGCGCGTAGCATCGCAAGGACCTGCAATCCCTACATTCAATTCATTATTAGCGTATACATTGAAAGTCTTATAGATATATTTTCAAAATAGCCAGTGCGAGAGTAATGAGATAGTATAACAGTCTTGTCATTAAGTATACAACTTGAAATGGTCAGATTACCTAGTTGCTATCAAATGCCGTCTAATATGCAAAGATGCCTTCCTTCAACGAGTTATCGCTTGCTGTACGCGCCCTAAACCCAGTATGTCCTTGGCCCGTCTAAAATTTATCCCGAAACCGTTTTTTGACCATGTTAAAAAAAATTTCTGCTCCATCTAATCAGAGTCTTCCTCCTCAGGCATCGGCCTAGGATTGCAGATGATTGTGCCAGCCCACGTGATGAGATTTCCCTCCTTTCCATCCCGCGTATCAATGCTCTCACAGCCGCCTTGTGCAGCAACTGGAGCTTGCGACAGGACCTTTGCGAAGAAATTCTGGGCTGCCTCGTTGCCTGCTTCCCACTGGAAGACAACACACTCGTCCATCTTGTCGCCGGGTTCTTTTCCGGGTGCGACGACGGGAACTAGTTGGTGTCGTCGTCGCTCACGAGGTAGATCCCACCATGAGTCCATGACTGCCTTCCAGAGTTCAGTGCCGTATCCCTGACGGCGGAATTCTGGCTTGAGGAGGAACTCGGCTTCTGGCCAACCAGAGATCGAAGAGGACATGACTAGTACGTCTGGCAGGCCACCCTCGCCTATGAGCTCACTGGTCGATTTAAGAAAGGCGCCAAACCACCAGTGGCTTTGGTCGTCCTGGACTAGAGAATGAAGTTGTCTTTCTGTCTCGGCCTTGTCTTTGGTTGCGCGGCCGCGAGCTGTTGAGTGGTTCTGGATGTCAGGACGTTTGCGAAGCTCATGGAATGCATCCAGGTCGTGCATTGTGAGAGGTCGGATAATCAGACGCTCAGTCTCCAGTGGGGGCCGGTCCGAAGCGCTGGGAATGGGTCGCTCCGGCAATGTGACCGAGTAGCTGAACCATGGCGTCATGCCAAGGTTCTCAAAATCCTCAGCACTGACAAAGACATCGATGGGGGGGAGGGCGTGATGAAGAGGTGCCATAGTTTCCATAATGAAGCTGTTGTCAAGAAATTGCAGACACTAGTGGCAGTGGGATGTGAAGGGGCTTTTGGATGAATTCTGGAAATTGGAGTAGAAATGGAACTAGTCTAGCAGGAGGGGATAAATAAGTGCCGAGGCCTGTCTCTTTTTAAAAGGATTGTCTCGTATGATGTCGATTTGGTTAGCGACGTTACATGGCAACACGGCAGAAATGAGCGGTGAGTTGTTCTCGCATTTCAGTTCAGACAGGGCCCCAGGAACGCGAAAAAAGCCGTTGGACTGAAGAAAAACAAGCCCCAGGCCCAGGGATTGAGGATTTCACATGCAGGGATTGCGCGTCGGTTAAGCAAACATGTTCCTGTGGCTAGGGTCCTCCCCCTCCCAGCGAGTGGACTGCACCTCGCAAATAACAAAATACAACATGACTCCACTAGGATTCTGCGGTATTTGATCTGTGTCGTTATTTTGCACAGTGAGACACGCCGGAAGAGACGTCCTGAAACTGGAGACACAGAGGGGAGGACTGCCGAGACTACGGTTTGTTTGGGTTTGGGGCGAGCATGCATGCAAGGCGAGAGAACAACGCTAGCGTAGCACTCGGGCCCCTGAACACGTACAGTATTGAGGTTCACTGGCGTGTTTGGCAGGACAAGGTTCAGCAGCGTTGCAGCTGTTGGTTGCAATGGCGTTGGGGCCCATGCATATCTTTACTGGAAACTGCTTAAACACAGACCGGAATACAGTGCCGTTTGCCATGCGTTGAGTTTGGGAGACTGAGGCGTTGATCACGTTGGTCTGATAGGTGCCGTGTCTCACTTTGAGTCAATAGAGACAGAGGTTATTGGTCGCATGAATCAGTTGATGTCAAAGCACTGCGATCCGAGATGTTGAACCGCCTCATTGACGAACCAACAATGATACCCTACAGGCCTTGTCCATTGCACAGTATTTTCTCGTCTCTGGGAAAACAACATGTTATAGATCACATCAGCGGGTATGACAGATCCACAAGACAGAATGATCGTCGAGGTACCTATTCCTTGCGCGTTTCGCTCGGGAAAATTGCATCTGTAGACTGCATTTTCGTAAAGGGTATGCGAGATGACAGCTCCCAGCGGTGCATGCACAGAACCCAGGTTCCAAAACCACCACAACGCTATATCCCCGACATGATGGAAATAAGATAAAGCATCAAATCTCCGGGCTTTCGGTAGACATAGGGCTGACATATCCCATTCCACCCAATATCAACAGCTCACCTCATATCGACTCTACCCGAGCAATAGCCCTAAAACCATTCGGATCCGCAAAATCCTCTCCGCACACGGTGACATTTACAGTGCGGCCCCTGTCACCTCATCCCGCGCCGGCGCGCACCCATTTGGGGGGAACAGGCTAGGTAACACCCGCCCCTAGAAGATTCCAGTAAAAAAACCAAATCACACTGTACAAAAAACACGCGCATGACTGTGCCGCTCGCCCCGTGACAAGCCCGGCCCCTTCTTCCCAATATCACGGTACCGGTAAGCTAAGCCTCTAGGGTTCCTGTCAACTGCAACGTCGTAAGTAATAACACTTGATACACGAGTGGGGGGTTTGTTATACCGAGGAGATATCGCTCAACATTGTATTTCTCACGTGTATTTGGCCGTATAGTCATGTCTACACCGCATTCTACGAGTGAGAGACAACTATTCTCTATGCAACTCTGTCATATATCATGGTAACGTCTCATTATAGCATATCCACTTATATATCCCATCCCAGAACCAACAGTCCTCAACCCAACAACCAACACGTCAAGCAAATAGCAAATCCCGTCGGTTAGACGAAGGATCACACCCCGCGAACCGCCACCAATCCTGATGCGTACGAACAAACAGCCACCGAATAGCGACGAGCGCAATCCAAGGAAGAGGCGGAAAATCCGCCCAGATACCGCCCTCAAAGTCCTTATCGTGGAGAATCAACGCCAGCGGTAGAATCTCGTTACGATGAGACGCTACCTTCATGGCGCTGGAGCCTATCTCGGCCCCTATCTTCTCGAACCACGCTCCCCAGTCGCACTTGTCGGCGTACTTTTCGAGCCCAACAAGGGTGTCGATTTCGTTGTGCAGATGTGTTGTGAGGGAGGGCATGAATGAGTCGATGATTTCTCTGACCGTGGAGCCGTCAAGCTCCTCGTCGCCTTTACGGATCTTCTCGATGTAGGTTGTGAAGCGATGCAGGCCCTCGTGGAATAAGCGGTGCTCGTCGATGTTGGCGTCCATGAGACCTGGTACGCCGGTGATTCTGTTGATTTCTGGAAAGATCTTTTCTTCTTCGATATCGTGATGTTCTTGGATGAATTGGCTCCATGCCCATGCGAAGCTGGCAAAGTTGACCTTGTCTTTTTGCGTTCCTTTTTCCGCGACGTTGTTTGCTTGGAGATAGATGGCGTTGACGCCGCGCAGGAATAGGTTATGGACGACGGCCATGCCTGCAGCGCATTTTCGAGCACCTTCAGCGCGCTTTTCGAGCTACGCGTGAGTCCAATCATTAGTAGATGTATCATGATGGCCTGAGTGGGCCGTTCGAGGTTTCATACCGAGTCACCTGCTTTTGACGCGCTGATGAGCTCAAAGGGGCCGTCAACCCATGGTCTCTTGGGTGCTTCCATTATAGTATGCCAAGGTAGATTGTAAGACACAACAAGCCTGACATGGCAAAGGACAGCGCATGGCTTATATGCTCAATATAAGAGGTGCAGCAATGTATTAGTGCTGACGTTGGATGTCTAGAGAGCAATCGATAGGTCCGTAGGGCGACCAATCATGAAGTTGACATCATATCTGACGTGATCTCTTTCATCTCGACTTTAATTTCCTTGAAATTGATGAAATGATGTCAAGAACAATATTCGGTTGCATTCAATGCTGTTCCTTTTTCTAGCAATTCAATCTCGACTTGCACCGCTCTATAATCTCTCAGGGCTAGAAATTAGTAGCGCTGGACAACTGAGCAGGATGATCTCGCGATAGCCTCAAGGTCCAAGCTTGCTGACTCAGATTTAATAGGGAGCTGTTCATAGGCTACTGTTTATCTTGAAGCTTATCGAACCAATGTCATCGTTCCAAGTGGAATTTTTTGGGATCCTTGCTTAGTCGATGCTTAGACCAGAACTGTTTCAAAGCTCTAAATCATTGGGTTAACCCAAGTCCCCGCCCGGAAGCGACCATAGGCGGGATCGTGAAGTTTCCGATATCCGATAAGCTTCGCCAGAAGAGAATGCGATATGCCCAAAGTTATAGTAGTTTCCATAACGCATATGTTTACCTGGTTTAATAGAATTACAACCCGGGGAAATGAAACTGTGGGTGATCCAGAGCGCTCATTCCTTGAGGTCAGCCAAGACATGATGATATATATAGGGTAAGTTGGTAACTAAGGCTAGAGTTACCATGATTTGCTCTGGAAAGCATCTGCTGTATCCCGAGTCTAATTACAAAAAGATCAGTTAAGCTTCTTTTTACAGCGCTTTAAAGTACCAAGCTGTTAAAATTATAGCCTCAGTCCGCGTCTTGTAACGACCTATTCCAGAAACATGCGTCAGTACAGCTCCTCCAGCGAGGTATGGGTTGCCGAGCTCCGACAATGTCCTTCGTAAGCGGAGCCAGTCTAAAAATAGGTTCAGTACTGAATCTCCTCACGTGTCAATCTCATTGCCTCGGCTTCTTTGGCGCTGGATCTTATCAGATAAGCATCACCAGATCAGACTTCGCGCCCAACTCATAAAACCCGTGTTCCGCCAAGTCAAGACGACAGCACGACCAAGAATCGACTCTTGAAGTTTGCCTGATTCTGCCAAGCCCATCTCAGCTTGACAAGTCGTCTAGTGGCGCGCGCCGTTGAATGTCACAAGCAATAGCGACGCCTTGGACCCAGCGCTAACAATAACATTACGGAGCACATTTTCGCGCTATTTCGGTGGAGCCTGTCATAGCCAATGATGGCATGTTGTGTCCCCACCGCACAGACATTTAGGCGAACTTTCCGTCATCTTGGCAGAACGCCAAAGTTGTTGTCTCTACGCGTGGAGACGCAAGTATCGTGATAGCGTGATAGCGTGATAGCGTGACCTGCGGAATTGTGCGCTATTGTCTTGGGTATCTGATGTGTCGTTGTCTCTGGCACGCTTGTTCAGCCACAACTGGGGCTGGCTTCAGCTGCAGAGCAAAAAACATCACGCCATGTTATTTACAGAGAGAAAGATATCAGTACGAGTAAGAGGATATTAACGTTTTGTTCGTTACTACATGAATTGATCCCTAAACATCATATCCTCCAATCATGACCAGTATCGCGTATACCATGAGCCAGTCTCCAGTGGGACATATTCCTGAGAACAGTCACTTTAGATGCTGGTGCCAGAAGCACCATCCGTAGCCAGCTGGTGCTTGCGCGCATTATCCTCCATACGAGCAATTCGCGAGTTTCTCTTCGCCTGCTGTCTGCGCCGCAAGAGGAACAGAATCGCGCCAGCAATCAAGACAACACCAGCAATAGAACCAATAACAATACCAGCGATAGCTCCACCACTCAACTTATTAGACTTGCCCGACTTGCTCTCCGCCTCAGAAGCATCAGAGCTTTCAGACGATGTAGACGGGTGAGTCGCAGTTGGGCTGGGACCAACAGTCGCACCAGCTTCCTTGTCATCGTCGCCCGGCTCAGTGGCGTTGAAGCAGGGAATCTCAAACTTGAACTCGGACTTTGTGACAAAGGTGATGTCGGCGCAGGCGTAGAAGGTTTGGTTGTGAGGTGCGTCCCAGTCAGCGCGGTAGATGATCTGCAGAGTTGCGTTGTCGCCAGCTGAGACCTTGGAGGGGGCATCGGGGACTTGAACGCAGGTGTGGCCTGGGTTGAGATCTGTGATGCTCTTTTCCTGGATTAGGGTCTCGAAATCATCATTGGACTGAGGATCTACAGAAGAAATAAGGAAATCAGTGAGAGTAAAAGACAGTCGACAGATGAGGTCGCTTACCTTCCGAGTACGAGATGCTGATTTTGGTGTTGTAATAATCATCCTGACCAACAAGAGAGACAGCACCGCCAGCTAAGGAACAAAGTTAGTAAATATTATAAGACAATCGTGTCTAGAACAGTTGAGTAAAAAGCTGACGCACTCATGGGAAAGTTGGTTCTGTTACCAGCAGATGCTCGTGAACCGCAAGGAGCCTTGTTGTCCATGTCCCCAGACCAAACACGGTCCGGGGGCCACATGAAAGCGGCAGGTCCCATGTCCTCATCCTTGACAGTGGCATCCGTAGGAATGTCATCTTGCCCAAAGGCATACGACGCCAGAGTCAGAACAAGCAGATTCTTCAACATGATGACTGAGACGACAGAGTAACAAGGACAACACGAGATGAGGCAGAGACGTGAAGAAGACCGTGGTTACTGTTATCTTCCAACAATGAGGGGAAATCATGCTCGAGATATACACCATTTCACGGATACACCATCTTCACCTGGTACATGTGACACTGCGGGACTTTTGAACCGCCAAGTCACCCACTGAGCCCTTGGAGGCAAGAGAAATGGCACTAACACTTGGCCGTTGACATCTGATTGACCCATCCGGCAATCGTGTGCCACCTAAATCCGGTGAACATTAAGCCTCCCCTGTTTATCAGATGATCAGATAAGATTTTGATGCACCCCGACGCTCCCATTGGTGCGAAGCGCTAACCGAGGACCACAGCTAGATCGCTTTGGGGCTAACGGCGAGGATTAAAGTTGGTGCGATATCGGATATACAGGTCTAGAGTATGCACTTTATCTTGGCATCAGGTCATGAATTGCTCGTCTGGCCAATCAGTGAGGTTGAGGGTGTAGTCGTGAGCTCGGTGTTCTCGGGATGTGACGGATAATTGACCGGAATGCAATTTCCTGCTTTGCGCTGGACATGGGAAAGGAACTTGTGATCTAAGCTTAACTGAGAAAAATTGGCTTGTGCTATGGGTTTGTGCAGATATATAGCCTTGATCCTCCTTCATCCATCTCTTCTCATCAACTCACAGCCTCAACACCTTCCAAGTCATCCAATCGTTAGGCTTCACTCGTTCAAAATGCATTCTCTCGCTGCGTACACTCTTTTGGCTTCTGCCTCTCTTGCTGTTGCCATTGACCCCCGCTTTGAGTTCCCCGATACTGTCCCTCTCGTCAAGCGTCAGCAGCCTGGTACCCCTCAGTACGCCTGCCACGAAGACTGCGGTACGTAGCCAACTCAATCACTCCCATGTGTTATTTTCTGACAGAGTGTAGGTCTCTTGATCACTCTTGCTCGTGATGATGAGGACTTCTGCGACAGCGATGAGTGGAACGAGCGCTACGGCCGCTGCATGTCGTGCGCCAACACGTACGACATCTGGAAGTACTACGGCAGCGGCGTAGGCCGAGTCGCTCAGCAGTGCGGTCTCACTCCCAAGCCCAGTCCCTCTGGTTCCTCTGGCGCTGCTTCTACTACCGCTGAGGCCAAGCCTTCTTCCACTGCCGCTGAGGTTAAGCCCTCGACTACTGCTGTCGAGAAGCCCGCTACCACTGAGGTCGAGGAGGCCAAGACTACCAAGGCTGAGGAGGAGACTACCTCTGAGCATGAGCATGAGGAGACTGAGCATGCTCACACTTCTACTAAGGCTGGGCACTCTGAGGCTCATGAGCATACTACTCTGGCTACTCACGCTGCTGAGACGACTCATGCTGCCAATCCTACCAAGACTCATGAGGCTGGCCACACTTCTGTTGATGAGATCGGAACTGTTGGCGTTACTGTAAGAAACCGTTCACCCTACATCCTTGCATAAGTTACTAACGATGCTCATAGGCTACGTCGACTCCCCTTCCATCAACTGTCATTGTCAGTGGTGCTGCCAAGCAGGTCGGTTTCTCCACTGCTATGGTCGCCGTCGCCTTCGCCATGTGCGGTCTCTACTAGGCAATTAGTTCCTAAAAGTGCTTGGGGCTTTATTCTCTGACGGGCGGAAACGAGTGCATGAGTAATGGGCTTATGCTGTAAGAGGATTTAGGGTGTTTTCAATTCTATATATAATTTTAATTGAACAATTAATACTTTGCAATTGGAAACTTGTCATCCTTTGTGGATAAACACTAGTGATTACTCGTGACTATATGATATATTGACTAATCCGGAATTAACTGTACATGATGTAATTAACACAAAAAGGATCCCCTTCAGATAGCGATGCCATAAATAACAAACAATTGTAGCCTTGAAAAGTTGACGATGGGTTTCATCCACGGTTTCATCTCATAAGGGAAGCCGTGATCTATGACAGAGGATTTATAATCATCACGCAGAAGCGAGTAGTTATGTTGCTGACAGAGCAATTGAACCGTTGATCAATGAGGCAATGGGCATATTGTGACAATGAATGCATTTTTGACACGAGCTAAATAGACAGACCCTTCAAGGGCTTACTCTGTACCTTCAAACAAACCCTCCTTCACAAACTTGACCTCTTCCCAACCAAGCATGGGAACGGCTTCAGCGCGCTTGAGAAACTTTTCTTCGTCCGGAACAACGATCCGATTATACTCAGGATCGCTAAAGATCTTGATATCGATGTATTAGTACGACGAAACGGTGTATATAGAGGAAATGCCCTTACAGCATGAAGGTCCTCAAGGCTCTTAGCCCACATCGTAGCAGCACCATCGAAAGGTGCAACAGGCGGCATACCTGTCCCCGAAAGATCAAGCTTCTCATCAGCGTGGAACTGTGAGTACTTGACAAGATTCTGCTTGACGATGGGGACAGATAGCCATATCTTTGGATGCTCTTCCGACCAGCTAGATTTAGATAGAGTCAGTACCTATTCTGTTCAAACGATAATGGGAAGTCTGGAGGACTTAACTACTTATGGAACTGCTCATATGTAACGTCGTCGCGCTTTCGCAACAGGAATGTGATGCGGACAATCTTGGCCATGGTATAAATATATCGGGGACGATGTTTTGAAGTTAAGTGTGAAGGAAGAGTTACTATCAGTTTTACCGGCGTGGACCCAGGATATATATACACATAATTCAAGTCAATGACGCGTCGCGAGATTTGTGAGACGAGATACCAAGTGTGATCATTGACCTCATTCTGCTTTGTCGAGTCCGAGTCCGAGTCCGACAGTGGCACAGGAAGACACTGATAGGCTGATGTAATCGCACGACTGAAGTGGTATGAACATCGAGCTAGCCAATCAATAGACAGAACCTAGTATACATGAATCATTCCACAAAGAGCTACTTCTGCATGGTAAGTGATAAACTTACAATGTTATCAGACTCGTCAATGGCTTGTTCAATTTGATCAAACTAGCTCTTTGCTTCACACCAGCGCATTTCACGCACCTTTCGTCGTAATTTCACCTAGAATGGGCTAGTCACAAAGCTATCTCATTGTTTATAAAAGACAAGCTTTCAGATGGACAAAAGCCCTCATTTAGCAACACTTAACCAAAACTTCTTACCGACACTTCAAAAGCACTCAGCATGTCTATAATCAAGACCGTCTTCCAGTTGGGCTCAAAGCCCTCTTTCTTTGAGAGCATCACCATTCGCCCCAGTGGCACTCTCATCGTAACACGCCAAGATACCAACAAGATATGGGAAATTGACCCCATCTCTGGGACTGGCGAATGCCTCGCCACCGTCCCAGATGTTGCCTCAGTTACTGGTATAGCCCAAGTTCTGCCCGACGTGTACGCTTTTGGAGCCGGGACGTATCGTCTGGAAAATCATCAAGGCACAGTCCCGGGCTCGTATAGCGTTTGGGTTGTCGATCTCAGAGGCACAGCACCAGACGTGCGGTTGGTGGTCAAGATGCTCGAGGTCGGACAGCTCAATGGACTTGCGGCATGGGATGCAGAGGCTGTCCTCGCGGCAGACTCGTACCATGGACGAATCTACCATGTCGACCTCATCACTGGAAGTTACATCGTTGCTTTTGACAACGATACCTTGAAGGACCCGCCCAATGCACCCGTGAGAATGGGTGTCAATGGAATCAAGGTCCGACAAGTGATGGAATCCAGTATGTCTACTACACCAACACGACGAGGATGCTATTCTGCCGTGCTCCTGTTACCGATGAGTCCTAGGGCTTAAAATACCCGACCTATGGGTACCCATACCCGCCCACAGATAGATCTGGGTACCTATGGTTGGGCAGGTTAGTAAACTATACCCATATAAGTACCCAAAACCTACCCTATTTTATTAATAGTTACCCAATAACTACCCAAATAGCTTAAATAAATTATATAAAACTTTTTAAAAAATATATTATAAATTTATATAGTTATATATATATATATATATAATTTTTATTATAGTTATTTTATTTATAAATTACTATTTTATTTTCTATTTAAACCTCTTTTTAATACCTAAAAAAAACCATCCTGTTTTAAGGTACCCATAGTGGGCAATTTTTCCTGATTTACCTAACTAGGTTACCCAGATATACCCATAGGGCCTAGTTAGGCGGGCTAACATCTGGGTACCCGTGGGAATTTTAAGCCCTAGCCGATGACGTTAAGTCCGCTGGCCCAGTCGAGATCCTGGCTATTGGTTACATCCCTCATACCATTGCGGCCGGGACCATGTTCGATGGGCATTCATCGGCGGCCATCCCCGAGGACGTGGAGAGGACAATCACAAGCCCACTTCCACCGTCGACAGTCGGGCTGGTCCCAGATGATTTCGGCATTGCCAATGATGGGACTGTTTATATGACAACGCACCCGACAAACATGGTGATTCGAATTCCACGCAACGGCGGCGAGGGTGTTGTAATTGCAGGGGGCTTTGCGTCCTGGGATGTCGCATCGGCTACAGCCTGTGCTCTTGGGGTCACTGATGCGGATCAGAATATACTCTATGTCACTACAGCGGGAGGTAACGTGGTACCTATCAATGGGCAGACAGAAGGTGCGAAGGTCGTGGGTATCAGAGTGGGAGCGGACTAGTCATACTACTGGGCACTTAGGCCCTATCTCGTCACTCAGCATACTGGATCAAGAACATGTTGGTGAGAAAACGTACTGGGTTAGCTATAGCTGTATGGATATCCGGGCTGTCAACATTCGAAGTCTTTATGTATCAACTTCCCTAAAACACATCAAATAGGCTTCAGTTGAGTGAGAAGACTGGCAACCCACGCCATCTCGTCCAGCTCGACCTTGAGAGTCTTGGTATCAGGCGACAGATGCTGGAACGCCATGTTCAGAGAAAACCGTAGTATGCAGTAGAACAACATCGTGAATAGTGCTGCGAGACGTGCATTGAGAGGAGTGCTTTCAGTTGCAAGACCCAATACAGGTGCAAATAGACTGCGCCATCGACCTAGGTGTCCTAAAAGCTGTAGCTGTTCTGCTTGGGCACTGACCATCGACTCGGCTGAGGTTTGTCTTCTGGTTCGTTCCAACAAACTGATAACGGCCATTGAGATGGAGGCGAGTTGTTGTCGCGCGTGGAGCATGCTCTGGCAGAGATTGGATCTACCCAGATCATCAGCCGCCTGCTGCCCCATCTCAACCATGCCGAGTCTAGACTCGGGTGGGAATGTAAACAGGCGGTCAGGGCAAGTCAAAAACATCCTGATAGTGAAAAGATCCACATTAGGTATCTCGTCCATCACATCAGGAGAGGGCTGGCCGTACTGGTGCATGATCTGCACTCCGCGTACGAAATGCTGTATGGCTGACGTGAAGTTGTTGAGTGCCGTCTCGATACTGATAAACATTTGGCAACACAGTAGTGCGGCCTTTCTGGTAGCCACTTCGTTATCTACTAGTCTCGTGGCGAGAGCTCCCAGAGAGTTAGTGTACTCCGGGATGCCACGTTGCAGCGAAGTTGTCATCTGCTCAGCGGCAGAGCTGCTTCCCCTCTCTGCGTGGACCCTTAGCAGGGTGTTGAGTGATGCGAGAGCATGTTTAATAGCGGGCTCTGAAGTGGCGGCTAATGTGAGACGTGCTTCTTTCTCGTAGGTTGAGCTGTGGGTTGGGACAGGCTTGATGGTGAAGTGTTGGGCGAGGTATAGCACCTCCTCTAGTAGGGGCTGGCAGTACAGTGGGATTTGGGTCCTGGTGGAGGATGCAACGCGACCGGATGCAGAAACCAAGCTAGCGGAGGTCACGATGCGGAAGTTGGACGCATAGCCTTCGCATTTGAACCGTGCCGTGTGACATCGTATGCACGTTGGCTTGGTCTCGTCACATTTGACTCTGCGGCCCCTTGAGTAAGTTTAGTTTGCCGGTGCTAGAGTAATGTGAGGCCGATTATACAGACCTACAGGTAATGCAGCCTGTAGAGGACTGCCCTTTGGACACGCGCTTACGTTTGCCGGAGACATCTGTAGGCTGCATGGCTGAACTGAGGTCCTTCACCGGATGCACCTAGTACAGTTTATACGTACGGCCGCTGTCACTTTGTGGAATAAAGGCACCGATGACCTCGTAATAGTTGCTGTATCTGGTAAGAAATAACGATATGTCGCTGCACCGGGTTATTTCAATGTTTATCTCCGCTTGTATCCTTGCTACTGCAATAAGCCGGCGCTAGGCCCTACCTGGATACACCATCGAGACAGCCAATCATGTTCCCAAGATAAGATCTCTCTCAGCTTATTAGTCTCTGGCTCGATGCAACCATAATTTGCATCAATTGGGCCGTGTCGTCATACACATGGATCACTCTTTATGATTAATGATATAACTGGTTAAAGGATTACAGGGTAAAACTTAGGTCTTGGATGTAACCGCAAGGTCGATATGTGTCAGGCTGACCTACCAAGGGGGTGCAATAAAACTTAGGACCTCTATCTTAGGTGATAAAAATCTTTGGGTAAGCTTAGTTTAATTTTGTATAATTTTGTATAGATTTAGAGAATCTTAGACTGAGTAATTTTGGCAACCTAATTCAACGTCAGAAGTCTTCTTGCACCCCGGGGCCTACCCATGCAGCGTCTTAGAACAGGATTTTCGATCCCAGTCATGCAATATACACATGCATGCGAATTGTTTCACAACCAAAGGCCGACAAACACCCTCAGCCCCTTATCTAAACTCTGTACAGGGCTACAAAAGGCTTCTTTAAGCCAGATGTTAAGTCAATGGAACAAAACTTACATCCCGCTATCTCAAGTACTTCCATCTCTTCATACCAGCACTGCTGTCCCGACGTCATACTTCTTCTCTGAGGACCATGGCTCCCCAACTCCTTTGGATAGGCCTCGGTAACATGGGCCGTGTAAGAGCCTCCGTTCTGTATCGGTCATTCTACCTACTCATTCTATCTCCAGGGAATGTGCTTGAACCTCGTGCAGAAAGGTTCTCTAGGCAAACCACATCTAATCTACAACCGTACTCAAAAGCGATGCGACGAGTTCGTGACCCAAGTCGGTTCGGCCAATGCCAAGACGTGTACCTCATTGAAAGAGGGTGTCGGTTCATCTGACATTATTTTCTCTTGCTTGAGTTCAGACTCCGCTGTAGAGAATATATATGAATCCATGGTTAAAGAGGGCGACGTCCGCGGGAAACTATTTGTTGAATGTTCCACCATTTCGCCGGAGTTAGTTGATAAGATCGCGAAACTTATGATTGATCACGGAGCAGAGTTTGTGAGCAGCCCAGGTATGCACATTTTCCTGATAAAACTTTCGCTAGTCTTCATTTATTGATATTTTATATTGGAGAGCTACGATAGGTAACTAGGGTAGCCTTTTTATCCTTTAGTAAATGCATTTAAGTTTTCTTTATATATTAAATATAATTATTAAATAGGCTAAAAAGCTTATCTTAGGTAATTATATTAGGTAATTAGTATACTGCCTAAACTAATTTAATAAGAGTATTATTTTAAGTTAATAGAAACCGCTACTGATGCTTATAGCACGCGCCTTACACATATCTCAAAATGGCAATGGAGAAGTCGCCGGGAGATCAGGTTGATGTCAGTGCGATTTACGGTGCCGTTCGTAAGGCGAATGGGCTCGAGTTTGAGAATACTCCTTAGATGTCGATGACACGATCTGGCCAAGCTCAAAATGATCTGGATTTCGCATGAATTTGTTTGGGGCAAGGTAGAGCAGAGTAAACATAGTAGCTTATTCTTTCCATAAACTCTGGCAAGGCTCGTAAGAATCGATCCGTATTGATCTTTTTACTATGTCATAATGCCACCTTTGACCTGCTATTAGCTCCACCAGGAGCCCCATAGTCCGTCTCTTAAGTAACGACTGACTTTATGTACACCTCTTATTTATATCCAGCCTTGAGGGTCTCATTCGCAACTAACAACGGATGCTAGTCGAGAGAGTACTGGAGCATTGCAGAGGAACTGCTATCTATAAAGTCTTACCTGCGTAATTTCTCAGGTCGCCCTGTCTTTATATCCCGAGCATGCTGTTGGGCTTCAAGGTGACGAAAGAGCTTGTCGCGACCATGAAAGTGCTTCCCGCACGTCAAACAATTGGAAAGGTAGCTCCAACGGTACTTCAAGAAATTATCCTCCGTCGGCCGTTGGGTATGGATATTTCTTCGTGTATCGTAAGGGTTGTTGTACCCATTGTACTGTTGGGTATGACTGTTCGGAAATGGAGGCGGAGTGCTTTGCGGCTGAGGCGATCGTCGCTTCAACTCGTTGATCTGAGACTTGAGACTCTGTAACATATCGTCCTGACGGTTCTTTTCAGAAGCATGCTTAGCTTGTATCCGCTCCATCTCTGCAGCGTGTTCCTTGTCTCTTCGCTGGACGCTCTCACGGTACGCCTTGTTTTCTTCATGCTGTTGTTGAAGCCGAGCCTCCAGTTTCCCAACCCTCTCTGCGTGCATCTTTTCCATGCTGACCTTGAGCTCGTCCATTTCTCTGCTCCTACGTCTTAACTCAACTCTCTGGCTTTCCTGCTCCTCGCGAAGAAATTCAAACATCTCTTTGTCACGAGCCTTGAGAGCCTCTCTCATTTCTTGATCTCGTGCGTCCATTTCTTGCTTCATCTTCTCTCGTTCCTTTGAGAGAGTATCCTGCAGTTCCTGACCAGCCGCTGTATTGTTCAGGTCTTTTCCAGAGTCGACCATCTCGGACTGGATGGCGAGGTTAACCTCATCTGGTGCTCTAGCCGACCAGCCTGGCACAAACTGCTCCACAATGTACAGGGCAGAATCTTGAGTGTTTTCGTGCCGGCGAACAGCGGCGCCTTTATCCACGAAGTAACCCCAGAACTCTTTGGTTGACTGAAGAGTCGACTCGCGTCTTTCGCCTTCGGCCTGGCTGACTTTCTCCCAGTGAGTTGTGACAAATGTCACATTCTTAATGCCTTCAGGGCCGCAAAGACGCTTGAACATGACGAGATTCTTGTGTGCACATCCTCCCATGCGATTGTCGGAAATGCGGTGCAGATAAAGGATGCCCCGCAACTTGATCTTCTGTTGGTATGTTTCTGTCAACCAACCTGCAATCTCCTTGAGGATATCGGTGTCTTTGCGAGTAGTGTCGTCAAAGCCAGGTGTATCCACGAGATATACATTGGCAAACGGGCTGAATTGTTTGCACTTGTGAACCCGAACCTCCTGTGTACCTGATTCTTTATGAGATTAAGAGGCCATGGTTAACTGTAGACTATTGACTTACAGGACTCGAGAGCACCCGGCTCACTGATACGGACTTCCTCTTCCGTACAATGCGAAATAAAGGTGCTCTTGCCAGCACCTGTCATTCCCATCAGGGCGATGAAAACATCAGATGAGCTGGGCTTGAATGGGGCTTGAAACGTTTGCTGAAATACCCCGGCCGAGGCTGGAGCATCCATGAACATTTCTGCATCGCGGTAATGAGCTTGAACCATGTTGAAACGAATATGGAGACAAAAGAATTTAGAAATATCGCTTTTTTAGGATACTATTAAAATAATTTAAACTAATCACATATGGATAGAATGAGAGAGGAGCGACCTTTATGTGCCACGAGTTAGAGTGAATAATCATAACACTGCAAACAAGGCTCGCGCCAAACTTCTAATTTTAGACACTACTGCAAAGGCTTCTGCCTCCTCGGGCGCTTACCTCCGTTCATGTTTCATTTGGTCAGCAATACAGAGCTGCTCGAACCATTCATAGCAGAGATTCCTCAGCCTGATTTTGGGCAACCCCTGCTATCTGGCGAAAGGACTCCAGCTGAGCAACCCTTACGGAGCTTCATTCCATAATAAGTCAATATTCCAGTCAGGTTACAATAAACACGAGGCGAAGCGCCTGTCTTTGGGAAATATCGACCAGTCGTTATGGATGGATATCTATTTTGAGGTCGAAAGTTGTACCTCTGGCCCCCAACCTTTGTGTCAGCCCCGATTGCTAAGCGCTGTGCCCAGACAGATATCCCTTTTAGGCTGCGCGCTTACCCCTTTATTTCCATTCAGCTACTAAACGAGAAACAAGGCTCGGTCCGCCCGAGCTCGCCCTTATGTTTAAATGTTGCCGCGCAAGGGTCAATGAACACGACTCAACGTAGATCTTCCAATCGTATTTCCTGCAGTATGAATCACGATTTTTCGCTTGCGGCACGGTAAGTCAACGACCTCGGTGGGGACCCTCACATCTAACAAGAACCAGTTCGCCTTCTGCTGGAGACGCTGTCATTCTTGTGATGGGTATCACTGGTGTTGGGAAAAGTACGTTTATCTCCAAGCTCACAGGAGAAGATGCGGGAATTGGCCATGACTTGACGTCTTGTGAGTAGAGTCGACATACTGATAGAATCTCTGCTAAAAGCTTTCAAGACACAAAAGGCCTCGGAATCTACAGTATGAATGTTGAAAACCGGGTGATTTACCTTGTAGATACGCCGGGGTTCAATGACACCTGGCGTTCCGACCTTGACATTCTCAAGGAAATTTCGTACATCACATCAACAATCTACAAACACAGAATGAAATTAGCTGGTATACTATACCTCCATCGCATTTCTGACAACCGGGTCTCTGGTTCAGCCGCGAAGAACTTCACCCTGCTGCAAAGGATTTGTGGTCTTGACGCAGCATCTCGGGTCTTTCTTATAACTACTATGTGGGATCAGATAAACACAAGAGGGCCAGACTATCGTGAGGCCGAAATGCGAGAAACTCGCCTCTCATCTACGATAGAGTTCTGGGGAACATTGTGTCAACAAGGCAGCCAAACACGACGGTGGCTAGGCGACTATGAGACAGGGTTAAAAGCAATCAATGAGCTACTGGCGTTGAACGAAAAGGGGGGCTACTTGACTCAACAACTACAAAGGGAGCTGGTAGATGAAAATAGACCCCTAGCAGAAACCACGGCTGGGCGAGAGTTGCTCATAGAGTATTCGTCAGTCGAGAGAAAATGCGCCCAGGAGGTTTTGTTTTTCGAGCAAGGAGCCTGCAATGAGCCAGAGGCATCCACTTCTCTTTTGGAAGTTCGGAGTCAACTTCGAGACATGAAACTTGCCCAACAAGAATTGCGCGTCTCCTTGCGGGGCGTGTTTATCGAAAGAGAGAAGGCGTACGGCAAAGTCTTGCAGAAAGTTTGCACTGAGCAAAAGCAACTGGCCAAAGAGGCCGAGAAAGGCAGACGTGATTATCAACGTCTCTTGAATGAGAACAGCGCCAACGATGCTTTATTGGGGGAGGAGAGGCAGAGCTGGCGATTGAGACGACAAGAGCTTGACGACGAAGTAAGACTTGGTCACAGGACGAGAACAAGTGCCCAGGAAGAGCGTCAACGGATTGAGGACGAGGAAAACGATTTCCACGAATCATTTCAACAACTCAGTCTGGAAAATGAAGAGCAATCCATCGAGACTCAACAGATGGTAGAAAAGCTACGCAAACGCGATGTGATGAAGCGAAACTTACTACCGCTTCTAGGAGTCCTTGGGGGAACTGGGCTTGCCATTGCCGGTACGGTAACGGGATTGGCTCCGCTCGCAGGAGCAGGAATAGGCGTGGGTTTTGCATATGCTTCTAAACTAGAGTTCTCTCGGAAGGCGGAAGATCATACGAGCAGCACGTTTTCTCTGTGGGAGGGAGTTTTAGGAGGAGGCCAAGGGGCCGCGGGGGCAAGTCTCGACTAATTAGGGAGTATGTTATTAATGTTTGGCCTAGCTTAGGAATTCGTAAATGTATGGCTTCTTATCAGATCCTGTTTTATCGGATGTAACTCAAAAGGATCGACTGATTCTGCTGCTTCTGTCTCTCCCTTGTCTAAGGGTGCCTAGGTCCTTTGCTGCGTTGTCCCGGATAAAGTCACGCCCCTACTTACAATTGAGGTCCAGGTATAAAGCCTTGCCATCTAAGTACCCTAGGTATTGGGCATGCTCAGGCGTATTATCACCCCTGACATCCTATACTAAGACATAGCAAGTTCTACTGCCTACCAAGCCAATATATTATACCTCGATACCACAAGGGAGAAGAATTAGAGAGACCTGGTATCAGCAACACGATGGCCACACCCAAGGTCTTGATAATGATGAGCGACGCGGGTCATGACCCCACAGGCATGTTTAACAAATCGCCTTGGCATCGTGAAGCTGACAGAATCTACAGAGACGGCCGTCCCTTATGCTGCTTTCAAAAGAAGCAGGGTTCAAAGTCCAATTTGCTACTGAGACTGGAAAGACCCCAGAATGTGACAAGAGGATGATGGAGGGTATTACTGGAAAACTTCTGGTGCGTCAGCCGACCCGATGTCGGTCCAATTCTTACCGTGAACGCTTTTAGGGCGCAAAAGCTGCTGTGGTAAAAGAATACGAATCCATGCTCGAGTCAGATGAGGCTCGTCATCCGCTGTCATGGACCGCGCCTGGTTTCTCGCTCGACGAGTATAACCTCGTCCTCTTCCCTGGCGGACACGATAAAGCTGTGCGACAAATCATCGACTCCGAGGAAGTGCACAAGCTGATGCTTGACTACTTCCCCAAGACGAAGAAGCCGAGAAACAATGCCGTAGGTGCGATCTGTCATGGCGTCATGGTGCTGTCGTTTGCTAAAGGCAGCGATGGTAAGAGCGTGCTTCACGATTGTACCACGACTACACTACCTGGTGTCTTTGAGAGCTCCGCGTACTGGGCGACTAGGGCGCTTCTCGGTGATTACTACAAGACATATGGCGCTGGTAGTGAGAACACGGAAGATTCTGTAAGCTCTGGCATTAGATGGGGCTCGTCGAGTGAACATACTGACTCTCTCAGGTCCGCCACCATAGCCTCGTTGATGATAGTAAGCAGTTCAAGGGAAGCTATAGTTTTAATGCGTAAGTTATGCCCAAGGCATCCGCTCATGATTGTGCTCTCCTAATCGGTCAACTGTAGCTTTGTTGTCAAGGATGACGAGTATAACTATGTCTCTGCAAGATGACCTGGCGATGCAGACCTATTCGCCAAAGCCTTGGTAGACCTTGTGCGAGAGTCGCCGTAAAAGTGCTATGGTATGATCTCTTGACAACTTTTGCTTGCTGGAACCAGTAAGGCTGAAGCAATGGCCATATCAAAAATTTGTTTTATATAAAACATGGGCGCTCGCGAAACCCGAGTATCTAAAGTATCAATTCAACGGACAAGGATAATTAGCTATATTTAGTTCAGGCTTAAAGACTTTCTTCTTTAGGTAAGTGCATTCATCATATTGTTGGTAAGCTAATTTTATATTCTGCATACATTACAGGGATTCTGACTTACTTAGCAACAGGGCGCATGGACAAAAAGACCAACCAACAGTCTTGGCATGCATGAGCTGAACAGCCAACAGCGAACATTTAATTAAGGGATGTTTCGTATTTAGCCATTATATATACCCTGTTTCAGAGCAGTTCCTCCCCTCTTTCTTCTTTACTTCTGTGGCCTCGGATTCCACTCCCAAGAAATTACTTGCTGCAATGGCCACGCCAATTACTACAAGCAGTGCACAGTCAGTGGATATCGATTTATCCGCGCAGAGAGATGCCGAGACAAGACCAGAGATCGCCGAAAAGACGGCATTGATGGAGGTTTATACAGCGACAGAAGGCGCCGCTAGACCTGGCGTTGGTGGTTCTGGGACAACTCACCTACCACTTCGAAAGTCCTCCCCTCCTCGGATTCTGAGAATTGGCACCCCTGCGCTGCTTCTGGTCATTCCTCTTACATACATTAGTAGGAAGCACGCTTCAAATTCTTTCCCCAGGCAGTACCACTAACCGCAGTCATAGTTCTTCTGGCAATCGTGGCCTCACTTCATAACAAGAAGAAAAGCTCCTTCGGTGAGGATACCCTTGAGGCTTTACAGCTGGCTGCAACTCTCTGGCCTATCTCATTCGCGGCGGTTATCGGGCCGTTTCTCAAGACTCTTGCTTTGTTCAGCGCTGAACGAGGAACGACCCTCGGCTCGTTGGAGTTTCTGTTGACTGGCCAGACTACAGTATCAACGTTGAAAAATCTCTTTACCTTGAGGATTCTTCGCATATGGACAATTTCTATTGCAGCATTATGGTGTTTAAGCCCTTTGGGCGGACAGGCAGTTGTTCGATCGCTCGACTCGCGCACGAATACGCAGAATACAAACATCCCTGCTGCGCATTACTTCTCGCAGGTACCCCTAATGGCTACCAGCGAGTACGCATCGACGGGTTTTGAAGGAGATATAAACGCGTTTGCTGGTGGCACCAGGACAGCGTCAGCGTTAAGCGCATTTCGAAGAACAGTTCTCGCTGCATTATCTGCATCTGAGATATTGCTTTCACATGCCAATAACATGTCAAGTCCCGAGTTCGAAACCGTTGTCAAAAAGCTAGGAGGGACGCCCCGGGCAGTTCGCCTGGGTCAACAAGATCAATGGCAGAATGTCCGCATTCCATTTATGGAGTATCTCCCAGACTACGACGATGGTAATCCAATGGCATGGACGCCGGTGCCGTCAAATCAAATTGTCCCATACTCTTCTTTTATGGGTGTTCCCATTCGCGGGGGGTCATTTTCTCGGGTGGGCAATTCCAGTATGGTATTGCAATCGCGATATCAGATCCTTAAGTGCGGCGAGGAATTTGACGGCCGCCCTTGGCTACAACTCCAATATTCTGAAGAAAAACCAAAGGTCTTTTGGCACAGAACGAATTCAACCTCTTACGGGTCACTAGCTGATCAGGAATCCCTGTTGAACTACTATGCTAACCTTGGGACCCGCCCAAGTATGTGGTTGGACCTCGTTAACGACAACCTCACCTGGTATCATATATACCCGACTCGAAACCGGCTCGAGCCCGAATCATACCTACAGATGGTTGTTGGGGGTGACTGTCCAACGGGCTGGGGAAAGTCAACACCCACGCTTCGCGTGTGCAACGTTAGTACCTCAAATGTTGACGCTACCGTAAACTGCACGCGATCGGGTGAGTTCGGGGATTTGGAATGTCGAACCACGCAGATCCGCAGGACGAAAGATCCAAGGTTCTCGTCAAATTTAACTGACCTCTCTGACGCGTCACTTGCCCAAGGGATATTTTTCGAAATGCCGTTTACAACGGCATCGTATACGAGGGGGGAACCAAGCTCTCTCGAGAAATTCATCTATGACCCTCTAAACATGTACAGCGACATAGACGATCCCGTTTGGCCTTATTTTGCAGGCTGTTTCACAAACATATCCCGAGCACACTTCGAAGGTAGGCTTTCGACAGCATTGAACACGTTCTTAATGGCGACATACAATAGCACTGTTCTTACAGGTGCTGACGGAACTACCCTTTCTGGGCGTAACGACCTTTGGCATAATACCACCGCAACCTGGACCGAATTCACCGAGAAGCAGTATACCATGAATGCCGCATGGTTCTGTGTTTCTGCGATATCAACACTCATACTATTGGCTTGTACCATAGCCAACATTGTCATTCGCCAGATTATTGTGGCTCCTGACTTCCTTGAAAGCATTGACGGGCTGACGCGAGACTCTCCTTACATCAAGATTGCTGGTGATTCTCCCTACACGAGAAGTGGCGTCAGTGCAGGAGATCGACTTCTTGTAACAAAGAAAATAAGGGTTCAGATACAGGATGTTCAGCCCGACATGGATCTTGGAAAGATTGCTCTTACTACAGAGGTAAGGGATGCAAAGCTTGATCAGATGAGGATATACTGTTAGCTATAAGTTTTTCCTTGAGAGTTATAAGTACAGGTTATTAATCTGCCTCTACGTCATATAAAAACTTAGCAAATAGTTCTCATATTCCTTAAATATCTATCATATCAGAACCACAAGACTGCCCGATGTATGTCTCCAATAACTCATCAAATAGGAAGGACACATCAAGACTTAGGACCTTAAATCCCCTGAATCGAAGTGAGATGGAAGTATCACTGCTACTTAATAAATTAATTCTTTGCTAAAGAGGCTAAGCAATCGACAAAGAAGTTATCCGATGCATCATCCCAATAAGCTGGACCCAATGCCCTGTCTTGTACAACCACGTTGGCATCATGGATTATCTCTAACCAGTCTCTCTGGTTGGCCCTGACAAAGTCCGGATCCCGAAACAGCTTTCTTACATAGAGAAATACTTGACTTTCGTCTTCAGTCAGAATTGGCTTTACATCCGCAGGGGAATCATATGGACATGACTCTTCAGAGAAATCGAGTTCGATCTGGTTCATTTTGTTGTTCTCACCCGGTTCAGAATCGTCCCAGAACTCGAGAAACCTGAGCTAGGAATATTACGGCTTCTTAAGCTCATTTGTTATCTTGACCTTACCAGACTTGAGGTTATTCCAGAATGAGAGAAAGCCAAGCTTGGAAAGCTGGCGTTGCGATTTATGAGTGTGAAGTTGGCGAAACATGAATTCGTCGTAAGCAATCAAATGGAGTGGACTGATGTTGGCGCCGAACGCATTGAAGACTATGATGCCGTCGCTCTGAGGCACGTGCTCGATACATAACAATTCGTAACAAAGGATGATACCTCGGCGTAGAAAGCGAGAACGTGATTCTTGCCAGCGGTAATTGGGAGAGGAACCATGATCGTTAGTGATCCGGGCAGTCCTGCCAATCCAAGGCAGGTCTAAGAGAAGAGGCCCTAGTAGCAGTGCGTGGAACGTGTGTCCCCTGAGGCATAGGTGTTTAATCGATACAACATCAAGGATGCATGACTTGTGCCAACAAAGCTGTTTAGAGTCTAGTGCTGCAGTAATATTCACCGCAACGACTGTATCCTGGGTGCCAATTATGCGACGAATCGAGAGCTCATCAGGGCTCTCCGACATCATTTCTATATAAGGGCTACCCATGCTATAGAAGTTGAAAATTTCGGGAAGAAAAATTGCCGACATGGTCTTCCCAGGATATCGCTTAACACGCCCGAGGATCGGGTTCCAGTCATCGACCAACGCTCCAAAGTCAGCAGCTGATATGTCATCCATAGTTTCGAAGTGAAACTGACTATCCATGTTGTATGCGAAGGTTACAGGTGGCCCATAGAATCGCTCGCTCAACGGTCCAGCTAGAGCAAGGACTGTCTCATTGAAACCACGGAGATGGCCTTTCAATTCATTCGAAAACTTCCAGGAAGCAGTTTTGACCGCGTGCTCGAGAGCTTTTCCTTGCGTAGCAGTATCCCGACTGAGGGCACGAACAATCAGGTTATATTGATCTGCGCATTTATATTGTCCCTTGGTCGCTGCCTTCCAACTGTCAATAGTCGAATGCACAATCTCGAGTTCATGAGCCTCATATGGGTGTTTCTTGAAAGCTCCCCAGCAGAACTCAGGACTTGATGCCTGATAGGGAAATATCACGACCCTGAAATGGTCCTTCGATGGTCGCGGTTCACTACAAAAAGATGATAGCTTCCTGCAGACCAGCTTGTGCATATCCCAATCACTGTATTGGCAGTCGGCTGAGTAGTATTCGGTGTCGTGGCACACAGAACATCTGAGCGATCCGGGCTTCTGAGAGGCGATACATGTGACCTCTGTCTTGAGTGCCGCTATATCTCACGGTGCAAGATCCTGAGACAATGGCGGGGGGTTATGAATCCCACGCCAATAGGAAGGTTCGGCGACGCGCACCGTCATGGCGTTTGAAGCCAAAGGAGGGTTGGCCATATTAGTTGCGGCTTGGCTTATGGGCAAATGAGAAATGTGAAGAGGTATTGGAAAAGGTTGAGACGCGTTGTCAGGCTCCTCAAAGGTCGTGCGGAGTTAGCAGATCAGGCTCGGATACAACAACCAACAACAGCAGCTGATAGGCTGAAGACAAGCCACAACTGCGAGATCACTGGCGTCAACACTAACAATTAATCAAAGCCTGGCATAAGAGAAATGCAATTCTTTAGGGCTAAGGAGCAATAATAAGATTTCCTCAATAAAGAGCCTTGCGAATTTCCCGCAATGCCTTATTGTATTCCTAGATATTTATAATTGACTTTTATCGGCCTAATTTAACCCATTTATGAGACCAACAAGGTCGCCACCATCATACTCAATTCCAAAAGAACTCAGTAAATTTGTAGCAGCCGTCTCACCAGTAGCAAAGGCTCCGTGAACGCAGCCATTAGCAACCAAAGTGCAATGCTCGCCGGCAAACTGCAGACGGCTACGTTTGTGATTCGTCAAAGCGTCAGTGAATAGGCTGGGTTCATCACCGACCTTGTCGGCCGAGTACGTTCCAAAACCAGCTAATGGATCCTGAGTCCATTTTGTGCACTCGATACTCACAAGTTGAGGTAGAGCCTTGTATGGCTCAGTACGGTAAAGATTGAACAGCGGCCGGAAGAAGCTATACAGTTCCTCATTGCTCATGGCCTCGACCCGCTGCGTCAAGGGTTCGGCAACCTGGACACATAGCTCCTTCTTGCCCGACATGAGCCAGGTGTTAACGGTGACAGTAGGATGGGATAGGATGCCATCTGTAGCAAGCCCTTCTTCCTGATGTTCAGGGGGTGCCGGGTAGTATATAAGCTGGTCATGGTCCTTGGTCCAGAAGACCTCGGCAAACTCGAAGAATACCTTGCCCAAGGCGCCATAACTGAATCGACTGATTCCCTCACTTATATCAGCCGGAAGGGCGGGCGAAAATGAGATCAACTGACGTCGGAGAACACCCAAAGGCACCGTCACAACGACAGCATCAGCCACCAAACGCTCTTCCTCGCCCTGAGCGTTCTGACAGGTGACGACGGCACTTGAGGCTCCGTCCTCACTCCACTGAACATGGCTGACATGGTGATTTAGGTGAATAGAGTCGAGTATTGACTCAGCTGTCCACCTAACGATCTTCTGATAACCACCATGTAGAACGTAGAGATTACGCTCCGTAACAAAATAGCTGAGGTGTTTGGAGGATGCCACGGACGTACTTGTGCCTATCCAGAGCTCTATCTATAGTATTGTTAACATGTGCTCCTTAAACGTTGCGGTAGGGCCTTAGAAGACAAATGCCTTTCAATAGACGTTCACTGACCTCTCTAGTAGCTTGCGGGGCCCAAAGGCGCTCATCTTCAGTGATGAGATCGTGCTTCTTGACAAATGATCTTACTAACTCGTCGACGCTTTTGTCCTCAGCATCCGGATTATTCTTATAAAACCACTCACAATAATCGGCGAATTCATCCGCCACTTTCTTGGCTTTGAATTGAGCGCCGGCTTTACCGTAAGGGGTGTAGTACAAAGGCGCCCCGTCATCGTAGTAGTAGTCGACTCCCAGCTTCGGAATCAACTTGGTCAATTTATTTTGCGACGTTTCATGCATCCAAGCGGCACCTTTAGAGGAAAAGAAACAACAAACGTTAGCATATCTCATGACGACGATGGCAAGTTGTGCCCTTAGAGGGAACGTATGTGTTGACATACCTACACCAGCATTTGACATGCAGGTGTGATAAGACGGCACACAGCCCAAGCTCTGAGGTCTGCAGCTTACTGTTAACCACATGTGTTGTCGGGCTAGCACGTACCGAGATCACGCGTCTTGCCGGGCTGGCTGCTGGTGCAGATACGACCACCAATACGGTCACGGGCCTCGACGATTACAACATCGAGGCCGTGGCGGCGGAGTACCGAAGCAGCTCGGAGCCCGGAAATGCCAGCGCCCACCACGATCACTTTCTTCGGTGGCCCGAGGCTTGGAAAAGGGTTACCTCCTCGCATTCGAGCCTTCTCATCAGCGCCAGTGATGACAGCATGTTCGAGAAGGCCGTCAAAACTGGGGCCACAATTGCTTGGTTTTTCCAAGACGTTGGGTATAAGTGTAGTAGCCATGTTGCGCGTTTGTTTCGAATAGTGTTAGATAGTAAGATAACTTGAGTTTGGGGTCAGGATTGGACTGGGGTGCTTTGTGTTTGCCGTTATCGAAGTGCCAACCCCAGGCGATATGAAAGGCGCCCTTAAATCATGGTAACAGTAGTTGGGGAAAGGGGGCATCATTAGGGACCAAGATTCGGCTAAGTGGCAGCCGCGTCATTCGCATGAATGCTCTTATCAAGATTGTCAAATAGCTAAGCCATAAGAAGGAAGTTAATGGAGACGAGTGTCTGCTAGTTTGATCGTTATCTGGTAAGATTGCGGGGAAATCTGATGAATCTCAATGCCGAGTCCCGAGATAGTGATAACACTCAGCCTGTCAGGCCCGATGAGGCAAGTTCTCCGCCCACAGTGAGCCCTGGCCGTATTGCCGGCTTATACTAACCCAAGCAAGCCATAAATATTCAATTTGCAGTGACTGCTACCGATCGACGACGAGAAACACTGCTTTTGGAGGGACCACAATCTAAACCAATGAGGTGTTAGTTGGCCCGAACTTCCGAAGATATGAACATTTCCGCGTATTGCCCAGGCCCTCTTTTAGTTCATTAATGGCCTCCATGGCCTATCTGATAGTCATACCGAAGTCAACATCGTGCCCATCACAACTCCGATCTTTCCAATTATACTCAAGCCAAACAAGCACCATGGAGTCTCAAACGACCGACCTTGGGAGCGAGGATATTATTGGAACGCAGCGCATTCTCGTCTCTGAAGGACACCGAGTTACGCTCAACCCCCAACCAACCAACTCCCCCAACGATCCTCTGAACTGGTCGCCATGGCGTAAGTACTGGCATGCGTTCCTCGTGCTCTTCATTGTGGGCTTGACTGCTGCCACCAGCAACTCCGCCGGCAGTGCTTCAGATGCGCTGCTGGCGAAAGGTATCAGCGACAGCACTGAGAACACAGGTGCTGGTGTTCTATTCGCCGGCATCGGTTACACGACACTCCTCCTCTCCCCACTGCCTGCCTTGTATGGCCGTCGCAGCACATACCTCATCTGTCTCCTCTCGTCCATTGCTGGGAGTATATGGTTCGCCAAGACGTCGCGCTCTGCCGATGCTATTTGGAGCCAGCTCTTTGTCGGTGCCTCTGAGTCATGTGCCGAGGCTGCCGCACAGCTGTCCCTCTCGGAGCTGTTCTATAGTCATCAACGCGGTATGGTCCTGGGTCTCTATATCCTCGCCACCAGTGTTGGGACTTTTCTTGGTCCGTTGTTTGCTGGCCTTATCACCGATAGTGGTCTTGGCTGGAGCTGGATTGGCTGGCTTGCTGCCATCATCAGCGTCGTAACCTTTGTCGTCTTCCTATTTGGTTTTGAGGAGACAAGCTTTTGTCGCAGAGCTATTCTCGAAGGTATTCGCCTATCCAATGCCAACGCAGAGACTCCCAAGATGCAAAAGGTCAACTTCGGAAGCGACAATGCATCAGAAACAGGCGAGCAGGTGAGCTCGATTCAGGACGAACCCAAGACATACTGGCAGCGGATTGCACTCGTGACACCATCGCCCACGCTCATAGGCTTCGGTTTTAAGCAATACTTTTCCTCGCTTCTTTCAACATTCCGAGTTTTCACCTTCCCTGCTGTTCTCTATGCCGGCCTACAATGGGGTGCACAAGATGCATGGCTGACCTTTTACCTTACTGTCGAGGAGGACAACTATTACGATGCCCCTTGGAAATACGGCGATACCTCGGTGGCATTGATGAATATACCTACTCTGATTGGTGCTGTTATTGGCTGTTTCTATGGAGGTTGGTTCTCGGATAAATTCGTCGAGTGGATGGCACGCCGTCGAGGTGGCATAAGCGAAGCTGAAGACCGACTATGGCTTATGTATCCGGCAGCCATAATCAACCCTGTTGGCCTTATTGTCTTTGGCATTGGGTCTGATCAAGGCTGGCTTTTCCCTAAGCTATGGGCTGCTTATATCGGTCTTGGCTTTATAGGTTTCGGCTGGGGATGCGCAGGAGATATTGGTAAGTCACAACTCGATTCTTATACAATTACGATGACTTCTGCTAACCAGTATCCCAAGGTATGAGCTACCTTGCCGACTGCTACCCGGACATGATCTTAGAGGGAATGGTAGGTGTGGCTGTGATCAACAATAGCATCGCCCTTGTCTTCACCTTTTGCGCGAGTATCTGGATGGCTGCTCAATCTCTTACCTGGGTTTTCACTATCATTGGGCTGTTGTCTTTCGCTTTCTTTATGACAACTGCCCCTATGCACTATTGGGGCAAGGCAGCTCGGCGCTGGACAGCACCTATGTACTGTAGATTTATTGAACATCGGGATGGGCTTTGACAGGGGAAGTCCTACTACGTAGTAAAACTGTTTGTTATTTTCATGTCGAAAGTTGATCTAAAGTACAAAAGCCTTCTTAGACTGACCCTCCCTTGTTCAATACGTTATCTTAAGTTTCTAAGATATCCAGCATGTCCAAGCCACCAGGCTGCTCAATATATGTCTCCCACAACTCATCAAAAGATAAGAGCATATCGAGACTGTTAAGCCCTTGGCCCTTGGATCCACATAAACCAAAGTCAAGTGGCGTTGCGTCTTCAGTATAGGTAGAGATAGTCGTGGATAGTGGCCAAATCCCATACGAGACCAGCAACTGTGTCAAAATATCCAGCAACCTTGCAGCCATCTTGGAGTGGTCTTTAACATGGTCCAGCTTCTTCAGAACCTCCATCAGCTCAGATAATTGTGTCTGGCCATCTCGGTTACAACAGATATCAGTAGTGAGAACAAGTGCCCCAATGAACATGTGGAAGATGGTGCCCTGGATTTTCATGAAGTCGGCAGAGTGCAACATATCCGTCATGCTCATGCCTCGCTGCGAAGAAAGAACAGCTCGAGCAGCCTTCAGACTGGCCTGTCGAGAAAACGCATGTAGAGCCTTGTTGATGCGCCCGGGAAGGTAGGGGAAATGTAGCCCACAGCGAAAAATGTTGATCAACAGGTTGATCAAGAGTCGCTGCATCGGAATGTGGGGATAGTTTCGGTCAATCTGTTTCGTCTCTTCAGACTCTCCCAATTCTGCTTTGAAGAAGTCCGGTAGCTCGTAGAGCAATGATTCGAGTTTTGCATCGAGTGAAAGGATCAGCTCGCATGATGCTTCGCTTGGATCATGTGGCATCAGATCCGAAATGCAGCGAACTACCTCGGCGACCTTGACGCGTTGAAGGTTGTACGACATGGTGGTTGGTTGTGAAAGAGGCCGCTGCTTTTGATGGGAGCTATCGAGGTCGTCATCATCAATATGTCTCGGAAGGTTGGTACTGATGAGGTTTGGCTGGATGAGATATGTAGCTCCAGACGTTCCTAGGTCCAGTCAGCACGTCAACATCGTCTTCAGTGATAGTTACTTACCTTCTGCTTTTGAGGATGCCCAGTCAGTCGCCGTGAGGTACCACAAAACTCTTCTCTTTATCTCTTGTGTTATCAGGTCCGTATCAACCTTGGAATGGCCCCGCCTCACCGATACGCGGTCGACAACATGAAGTCCAAGGCTATGAGAAACAGCGACAGCTTCAGCGAGCAAGACACGATACCGAGGAGAGAAGGTTTCGGTATGATGGATGCCAAAGCTAAGGAGAATCAGTGCCTGGACGTTTTCGAGAGTGTGATCTCCTCGCCGACGATGCTGCTCGAGGCAGTCCATCGCCATTCCCACGTAGGAGGCGAATAACTCAAGTCTTTCCTTGAGTATTGGAATAGCTGTCGTCAAGTCACCGTCCACAGGCTCAAGGATCGTCGCCAAGGCAATGACGGATAATATCGAGGCGAGTCCTCGAGGCGCAGTCGTTGCAGAAATATTAACGATCTGGTCATATGCCTCGTTTATAAGAGTGCGTGCGTGGGGCTCGTAGATAATGTTCTGGACATGGCCCAAGTATTGGAAGTATACTTGAAATAGACGCATAGTCTCCCATTTGGGAGGGAGTTGTATGTGGCGAGGTTCGATTATTTTCTGAGATTGGTAGTTTGCTGAGATCGATATACTAAGCTCGTGCGTGAGCGCGCGATGCTTACAGAGGTTAAAACAGAGAACACTATGCAGAAGTGGTTATTATGACACCTACCAAGAAGCTATCATTGACCGAGTATTTGGTAGCTTGCATTTGGTCTTCAGGAGGCATCGACTCAGCGTCATTGGAAGCGGGGTCTGGAGCTTGCAAGACGCTGGGAACGTTGAATCGAATGGCATTCAGCTGGTCGCCAATGGGGGCCAATATTACAACATTTTTGCTTCTCTTGTTTGAGTTGAGGCAATCCTCGATTTGGTCTAACCTTGAGAGTATGCTTGACAGTGTTGAAGAGTCTGGCTCTTGAGGCAAAGACCTTTTGACTGCTCGGCTAGGAGGCAGGTCTTGCTCTGTGCACACAACTGACCGAGCAATGCAATTCGCACATGGCTGCTTGCGATCACACTTGAGCTTTCGCTGGCGACATGAGAGACATGCATTTCTCTGCGCGCCTGGTACCATTGTGGTTGTACATGCAATCAAATGTTCGGACCCGCGGATCCGTCATGATCCGTCAGCTCACGGTAGATCATCGGGCTAGGAGTGGAACAAATCACAACCACAAAATCCTTGTTGAGTCCGGTCCGGTCCGGTCCGGTCCGTGGCCACTGGACATCTCGGATCCATTCTACAGATTGTATCATTAGGTTCAGTATTTATAGCAATGCTTACAGTCTGAACTTTTCAATGTCTCAGAAACTATTACAGAATTATTTCGTTTTAAATACCAAAGCCAAGATATCTTATTCCCAAGTCACGTCATAGCCATCGCCATGCCTGACGTTGACTTCAACGCTATAGCGGCTGCAGCCAGTTTCGACAACTTTCGCGAGGCTCCGATTCTGGATACTCTCGCCAATGATTCTCTGCTTTCTCCCAATTCCAAGTTAGAACAAGCCCTTGCAAACTCAGAAGCCAAGGGTCTTCCTCCCATCAGCGTCACCCCAATGTCTGGCCAGCATCTATCTATCCTCACTCAACTCATGGGCGCCAAGTCAGTGCTAGAGATCGGTACGCTTGGCGGATACTCAGCTATCTGCTTTGCCCAAGGCGGCGCCAAAGTAACAAGCATTGAGATCGATCCTAAGCACCGCGACGTGGCACTCGAGAATGTGGCAGGTCTTGACGTTGACGTTATACTCGGAGCTGCGCTTGACATTCTACCGAAACTGGCCGAGGAGAAGCGGCAATTTGATATGGTCTTTATTGATGCTGAGTTTGAGGATCATATTGAGCATTTTGACTGGGCTATTAAATTGACCCGGCCTGGAGGATGTGTTTTCTTCGACGACGTGGTGGCGGCCATGTTCATGAATGGCGAGGTAAAGCCTGGAGCGGATTCAATCTTGACGCATATTGGAAAGGATCATAGAGTCAAGGCTGCACTGATGCCCAACGTGGCGTGTCACCCCATGTTACCCACGCCTATCTTCAATGGCTTTGTATTGGCTCTAGTCAACGAGCACTGATTAAGATGGTAGTGGAGTTCGCTGCGACAAGTCCTACCATGGTCAACACTGTAATATACATTCTTACCGCTCTTTTACAATTTTGTCTTCTATTTGGAATATGTAATAATGCTCCAAAAGCGGGACAATCAGCCTAGCGTTAGCTCTCAATCAAACCATTCTAGTCCTAAAGCCGCCAGTAATTATTCCTGGTATGTGGGCTCATTATAGCGAGTACCTAGACCACGAGCGAGTCCGAGAATATGCTAAGCCCCCTTGAGCCTTACCCTTTTAAGCTTACATGTCATCAACGATCCAAGCCACATTCCTTCGGGAGGCATCCTACAAAACAAAGGTACTTTTTCACAGCCCTAGACCGGACTCTTTAGACCTTGTTATAAAGTGTATTCGAACCAGAAAAAGGCTTAACTATACATTGATCCTCAATTCACATTGTGTACTTTACCCTTTACAACTTACAGGCTCGATTGCTGGCCCTGTACTCAAGCCGGGTTATGCGACTTGTATAAAAGCTGTGACCTCAGGTACCCCGGAAAAGCTTTTCTCCTACCGCCACAGTCTGCCTTGCCTTGCCGAATTCCGGTCAGCTCATAAGCCCTATCAATAAGCTGCATCAGAATACGAAAATAACTCTCGCAAATCCCCAACCTACCCATTTCAAGGCTGAAAAAGATGGCTTCCAATCTCTACCCTCACAGAGGGTTCATGCTGGATACTGGCCGAAAGTTCTTCCCCGTCAAAGCTATTCTCCATTTGTTGACGCTGCTTCACCAATACAACTTCAATGTCTTCCACTGGCATATCTACGATGCGGAAAGCTTTCCTCTGCTCTGGCCTGGGGGCGAGGGCCTGACGAACGCAAGTGTCAAGTATAGCCAGACTCACACGTTCTATACGCCTACCGATATCCAGAACATCGTCTCCTATGCAGAGAACCTGGGAATTATGGTGTATCCGGAGACGGACATGCCTGGTCATAGCGATATCTGGTATGTCATACGATACCCCCGCTTCAGCGTTGCTGCGTTGTGATCTAACAACACTCTATCAGGGGAATATGGAAAAAGAATTTGGTAGTAGGCAAGGCAAGCTTAACAAAACCGGACGCGCAGCTCGACATCAGACCGAACAACAAAGCAGTGTATGACAATATTACCAGCTTGGTATCGACTGTTGACGGGTATTTCGGCTCACCTTACCATCACTTTGGCGGCGATGAAGTGGCATACATGTGGAACACCAAGGACGACAACAAACTATTCAATACGTTTCTGAACTGGCTCAAGACTCTCACTCCCAAGAAATCAGTCATCTTATGGGATGATCCGCTCACCGACTCGGAAAAGAGCATCACTTTGGCAAAGGACTGGATCATTCAAACTTGGCATAAAGGCACCACTCAGAAGATACTCAAAAAGGGACACCGGGTTATTGTTTCGGAGTCTGACACTTTCTACATTGGAAACGCAGATGCGGACAAGATATCCAAATTTGTGTTCCCAAAGGACTCCAAGGTTATGGGCTTCGAGATCGCGTGGTTCACCTCACAGGATGATAGTCCAAGTGACTTGGATCAAGATTGGATTCTCGATCCCTTGAAGGCTGCATCTAAGATCCGGAGAAAGTAAAAAGGGCACGAAGGGTTAAGGAGTAAATATACATAAGTTGGGCTTGACCATTAATCACTATATTCTTGAGCTTGATATACTAAACCCTATTTGATTGTAATGGCTCTGTCTAATATTTATGTATACGATCTGCAGTTTAAGTTGTATGTCTCGTGGATTTCTAGGCATGAACTGGAACAGTTCGGCGCGAAACGATGGGCCCCAGAAGTTTCTCAGTTCCCTGTAATCATCATTGATGGGGCCTTAATCAATCGGATCGCCAATGCTGTCATTCGCAAACTGGTACAGTCCTCAGATTATGGGTTTATTGTAGGACGCCGGCGAACCGACAGTCCACAACAACAAATCTTTAGCCCGAAACAACCCTCTACTTCTCTCCGCGCTACCCTACATTGGCAAACACAACAGTCGAGGTGGGTCTTTATCCTTTAATAAGGTCATGGCGCTACTAATCGTACTAAGGATATGGAATACTCAGGGGTCCAATTACCTTGTGGCGTAGACGTTGGCCTTTTTATGGCTGGGTCTGCTCTTGCAGGTCTTTGTAAGCCAAAGACATCAGGTATGCACACCAAGTGATCCTTCTTCAGAGAGCGACTGTTAAACCAGAAATTCTTCTGCAGCTTCGGATACATTAAAAACCACGCTCACTACTGCCGGCCTACTCTAACCCCCATCGCTACTGAGACTACTATTGCGACGTCAGACTCATCCAAGACAACTGCTATCGATAGCATCACTACTACAACGTCTGAAGCGGAGAGCAAAACCAAGGCCGAAAGTAGTACCACCACTCAGACCGGAACCACGACCGCTACCTCTGAACTCGAGAGCACCACTGCGTCATCGGTTTCGTCTCAGCCGACGACGACCGGAGATGTCACCACGACTTCAGAGGCCGAGAGCACCACCAAAGCTGACACCACTACGACTGCTGTCGCTGCCCCAACCTTTACCACCCTCGCTGGAAGTGCACCTCTAACTGGCGATATCCTCCAGGCTGATGGTTACCAGGGTAGCTACCCTTTGTTCAACCCCTCAGCTAACCCGCTAGATCCACCTTACAGCCCCAGAACATGGGTCATCGAGCCCAGCACCGGCCATATCAAGGACACAGCCAGTGGACACTATTTATGCGCCTACTATCTCTTCGTGCAGCAGAACGGTGGAGCAGCTTCCATTTCTACCTGTGAGGATGTTCGCAACCCAGGCCCCAACAGCATGTACGGTTACTTGTCCTGTCAAATTGTGAACGGTCAGCTCTCGTGTACAGCTCCCAAGACTGTGTGCACCTACGACGGAGACTACACCTGTGTTACTTCACCAGGCCAAGAGAACGCTTACAATCAGATCGTTGCGATGAATAGTGAGACCAGTGACGCGTCTATCGCGATTTATAAGACTACGCCCAATAACTGGACACCAATGGTGCTCAATGTTCAGGAAGTCTGAGCTACTATGGAGGGATAGACATGGCCAGTTTGTATGAGGCATACTATATACATGGCTTTATAGTGTTTCCGTTTTATATACTACATCTTAGGAATATTTAATTATGTCTTGACTGCATTTTAAACAGTAACCCCAAGATGAATAAGAAAATATAGAATGCTATATAATAAATAAGTAATGTAAAATGTATTTTACTCTATTTATATTAACCTTAGAAAGTCTATATAGAAATAAAATTAGTAAATATTAGTAAATATTCCTTTAGAAGTTATTATTTAGGTAAAAGTTAATAACCTTTACCTTATCTAGTTAAAGTATATAACTATTAACACTGCGTCTCTGAGGCATTATAACGAATCGCCTTGGCAAAGGATCTTCAGTACTCCGTAGATATTACCCGAATCCACCTACTAAATCCCCTGTAAGCAACCATAACATAAACCCCACAGTTGCCTACGCATGCAAGGATCAGCATTCAGGATCTGAGACCTACCCTTTGGAGTAAATTACCTGAATTGTTCAGTGTCAAATTATCAACGAAACCAAGTTCTGTACAATGTTTTACTCACAACAAGGTTCAACGTATGTAGCTACACCTTATCAGACGCGAACATATCGATGCAGGCCTGTAAGACGCTCATAGCACCGAGACCGAAACGCGTGAGCCGTCACCGCATTAACAACTCAGCTCGTTTATTACGCTATTATCATAAACATCACAGCAACCAACATCGACTCGCTCATCTCTTACATCATGGGCAAAAGCTTACGGCATGAAGGCTCTTGTTGAACATTTTGATTCTTGGATAACAGACTTGCAGCCTCTCTCTTCGCCTCCCGCGCCTTGCTAGCCACCAAGCGATAAGAACGACCGCCTCTATCACAAACTCCCTCATCCCTGCAATTACTCCCCCCACTCGCCCTCAAACTACGTCAAATCAGACTATCAATCTAATTATTTTCGTTCGTTTCGGCAATCAACCACACAGGAGACCAAGAGACGTGATTATGAATCATCTTCCTAGTCACCTTCGCCAAGTATGGTGGACACGGAGCCACAAGCGCTCGAACAATCTCACAAGAAAGGTTGGATCCAAAAGCTTTCACCTGCGACTGTCGAATCAGTCTTTGAATAGTACATCTACGGGAATCATACCGTGGGGCCGGGACCCAGTCCAACGGCAACGTAACTATGGGGAAGCGGTCTATAAGGTTAAGCTTTAGCGTGCGAACACAGATAATGAATGGTAACGTAACAACCCGATACAGTGGTACCTTAGACACGGCCATATCCATAGCATAACTAGGTTCAATGTAACCGATAGCAGAGAGAGGTTTAGCTGCCCACATCGGAACAGAAAGTATACATATATCGAGCATCGTAGAGCCGCGTTACAATTCACGGATCGCAATAGAGTGCAGAAGTGAAGTCCATCAGCTGGTCTTGTCAATCTAGCCTCGGGTCTCCCGGAACGCATTTAATCCATATTCTGGAATTATTTCTTTGCTATATTATACCATATACCGATCTGAACATGGCTGAAGGTATCAAAGCCGGAGTGTTTCGACGAAACAACACAAAGCCTCCGGCAGACGGACCAGTCATGCCGCTGTTTTCTCTCGCCGGCAAGACCGCCATCGTGTGCGGCGCCGGGCAGGGAATTGGACTAGCAGTAGCCAAGGCGCTCGCCGAAGCGGGTGCCAACGTGGCCATCTGGTATAACACCAATAGCGGGGCTATTTCAGAGGCTGAAGCTATCGAAAGGACCTATAAAGTCAAATGTACGTATTACGAACCTCACCGTATATGATGGATGTGATGACTGACCTGACTGTTGGATAATTAGGCAGAGCGTATAAAGTAGACGTTACCTCGTACAAAGAGTTGGATGCGACGATGGAAAAGGCTATCAGAGAGTTGAACGGCCGTATCGACGTGTTCGTGGCGAACTCGGGTGTTTCCTGGGGAGATGAAGCGTTTATCGATTCTGACATTGAGAGATACCACGATCTCATGAAGATCAACACTGACGGAGTTGTATACTGTGCCCATGCCGCTGGCAGACATTTTCGAAGGCAGAAGCAAGAGGGAACCACGATTGACGGGTCTAAGCTCGACAATTTTGAGAGCGGTAGCTTCATCGCCACGGCTAGCATGTCTGGACATATCGTCAACATCCCTCGGCGTCAAGCCGTTTACAACGCTTCCAAGGCCACTCTCATTCATATGTGTAAGTATCCCGACGATATCTCCTCAGCATCTCTGACGAACTGGTCCGTTTAGGCAAGTCCCTCGCGATTGAATGGCTCGGATTCGCTCGTGTCAATAGCGTGTCTCCTGGATTTATCAACACTGGCATATCTGGGCCAATCGCGGAGGAGATTATGAGTGCTATCATGGACAAAGTCCCTATGGGGTAGGTGACCTGTTGGTTGAGAACAAAACAAGTAATGAAGCTAATGTCTCTAGGCGCTTTGGTGAAACAGTGGAGTTGAAAGGGGTGTATCTGTTTCTTGCTTCAGATGCCTCCACATACGTGACCGGAACGGATATCCTTGTTGATGGTGGTTACACTGCTCCTTAGACTTGCTGGACTGTTGCATTCCGTCTCTGTTGCAGTACTACGATGCACTAGTTAGGAGCTAGCTGCTGGGCTTCAGCTAGACGAACTTGCTTATGTTCTTGGCCGCGCAGAGAATTGTTGAAAGACTAAGTTACTTTTTGAAACGTTACATACAACCACTGTTTCCTTCTTATTCCAACCGACCGTTCAATTACCAGGTCCGGCATTGTAGCACATTGCCCTTGACGCGGCCGCTCTGAATAACAAGGCCCGCACAATCGAGTTGTGGACCACATCCCGATTCCTTATCATTTGTCCGCTGCCACTGAGCGTTGCTGTGTATTGCAGCGAACCGATAAATTTATCAACCATACTCAAAGATTACAAAATGGACTATGACTTGATTGCCACGTAGAGTATTCACTTCATGCCTAGTACCAATGTTCTTCCTCTTGTGCTGACTTCCTGACCTTCCGAACGCAATTCCTGTGTGTCATTACACTTTCAGGCATTGTACGTCATCTTGTCAACTCAGGTCCCGAAAGGAAGCACATGCTAAGCCTCGTTGGGGTGCCACGACCGATATGAGATCTGTGAGTTGTGGACTCAATCAGAAGTACGGATGACAAAGTGCCGGGGCTAGACACGTTTGGAATAGCAAGCGAGTTAGGTCTCGCGCGCGCTTGCTGATTAATACATGATTTTGATTCATGTGTCTCTGACTTTGCTTAATGGACAACGAACGCTCTGGCCACGATTCGGTACGATAGTTGCACCGATGGTATACATTTCGTTGAGATGAGGCCGCGCGGGAGCGCTCTCTGCAAGTCGGAAGGAGGCGAATGGCTCCAGTCGCCCTGATTATATATAGACGGTTGAAAATCCGAGTTGGCACATTCGATCATCACCAGTCTCACCTCTCCAGCTTCACAATGCGCTTCCTATCGCTTTCTTCACCTATCCTGCTCGCTGCAAACGCAGCGGCGTATGATACCCTCCTCCACTTCGGCTCGCCAACTCAAGTTGAGACGCGTTCCATCAACCAGATTTACAAAGCTGCTCTCAAAGAAGGCGGTATCGTGACAGCCCGGTTCGGTGGTGATGAGAAGAATCAAAATGACGCGGTCAAGAACGCCTTCGAATCGGCCTTTCCTGGCATGAAGCTCAATCTGACCACCGACCTGTCCAAATATCTCGATAGCAACATCGACCAACAACTCGCTAACAACAACGTCTATGTCGATACACTCGCTCTCCAGACCACGCAAGATTTTCCACGGTGGAAAGAAGAGGGTGCGCTGCTTTATTATGCTCCTGCTGGATTCGATAAGATCTATTCTGGGCTCAAGGATACTGATGCTGCTTTCTACGGATTCACGGGTATTGCGTGGCAGCTCATCTGGAACGCCGATAAATTGAAGGGCAAAAAGGAGACAGCAGAATACAGCGACTTCCTTGCGCCAGAGTACAAGGGTAGGCTTGCTTTGACATATCCCAATGACGACGATTCAATCCTTTTCCTGTTTGATAAAATGTAAGCCTTCCACTGTCATCAATCAACACATAGCCTCGACTCACCGTATCAACAGCCTCAACCAGTACAGCGAATCTTAGTTCAACAAGCTCCTCCAACAAAAGCCTCGCTGGGTTCGTGGAGCAGCCACTCCGCAGACGCTTGTCCGTGACCCCAAGACACCTTACGTCGCAACCTTCACCTCAGCGCTGGGCCTGACAACTGGAGCCGGCTCTCTCAACGCTACATATCCCAAGACAAGCAACTTCATCTCGTGGGCACAGCACACTGCTATTCTCAAGGGCGCGCCGCACCCTGAGGGCGCTAAGCTACTGCAGACCTTTCTACTGAGCAAGGACTTCCAGAAGACGAGCGGGTTTTGGCCTGTGAGAAGTGATGTCGCCCCGCCCGCCGGATTTCCCGAGTTTGTTGGTCAATCACACACTGACCCTTATGACTTTATGAGGTTTATGATTGACCGGGAGAGGGTTGAGAGGCTGAGATTCTGGTTCGAGAAGAGGCTTGGTACTGCCCAGGGTCTCAGCCCACTGGATGATGATTTGTAGACGGTTGTGGGTTGGCTTTTGAGTAATTTTTCCCTTCTTTTATTTATGTAGTATTATCATCCGGCGAAGACTCTTCTTGTGGCTGGCAGGCTGGTCACCGGCTCCTCTCCGAGAAGCGCAGCGTATACAAGAGCCATCCCAGCCTTTGTTAAGATACGGAATAATAGATAATCCGATCCGAGTCTTGTTATATAGAATGTGTTATTTATTGCCTATATAGTTAGTTCTTTATCCTTATATTAATTAATCTATTTAATTATCTTTAATAGGTTATAAGCCTAGATATAAAAAACTTATAATTATTAATATTTTTTTTTTTAAGTTTATAAGTTAGCCTTAAA